ATATTATATATGTTAAAAATTTATTTCTATGAGTGAAAGCAAAGTGTTACTTATCTCTTCTAAAATCAAACTTACAAAGAAACTTAAAGCAATTGGATTTAGATTACCCTCGATAAGGCATAAAGTACTTTTTCTTCTCCCAATTTTTGATAGTCATTCAGTATACATCGCCAGGGAATTACACATATATTTTGAAGAATTCTTTGGGTACAACTGGCATATATATTAAGCATCTGGGACAGATCAGTGAATGAGATACATAGAGAAATTAGATCTAGTGGGGGAAAGAAGCATTAGTTTGACATTCATTCAAATTACAACTATGAAAAGTTTTTGGATGGTTTAGTATAGGGCCCTACGAAAGTGTTTAGTAAGAGGACTTAACCCTGTGTAGGTCAGGTTGGACAGTGTAACGTAGAAGCTGGGAGAGAGGGCTTAAGAAAGTAAAAAAGTAAACTAATACTTCAAGGATTAAGGATCAAGCCAGGAGATCTAGGAAGTTTTCCTCATTTTATTAGTGAATATACTCTTATTTGAACTATAGAATACATTTTTTGAATATACTCACTATTTGATTTAGTGAGTTTCCTTTTATAAATATATTTGATTACTAATAATAACGTTTATTCATCAAAAATTATAAAGGAAGGCAAACACCATCAACAATAACAAGAATCAATGCACCAAGAAACCATTCCCCTGAAAGCATACCAGGCCAAGAAAAAAAAAAAAAAGCTCTGTACAATTATAAATCCATACAGAGAGTGGCTTGTGACACACTGATGTATATATCCTTAGACACTTTGTGCATCTGTAAGCATTTGTATACATATTGTTCTTAACAGAAATGGGACTATAGCCTCATTAGATTTATATTCTTTTAATGGTTGCAGCATCTTTGTAATGGATGTACCTTTATTTAAGCAATCCCTGTTTATGAACATTTTAGTTATTTCTAACTTCAAAACCCAGGAATATTTTAAGCCAAGTCTAATGCATTTGTAAAGTTGACTTAATCAGTTTAGCACCTAAATTAATCTGAAGTAAGGAGACATTCACTTACGGATTTCAGAGCTTCTTTGCTTATATTTGCATACGAAAGATGGTTCAAATGAGAATTGGAGGTATAGACATTTAACTTACTGAGATATACTTCAGCAGATAGAATTCATTTGTAATGCCTAGAATAAGACTCATTTGCATCATTATCAGTTTTCTACAACTTATGCCCACCATTCCAGTGGAAAAACACCCAAGATCTTTTTTGTCCATTTTTGAAGTTTTTGCAGTTTTTTCTGAGTCTCCTTCTTGCCATCATAAATAATTTCCAAAGGTAATTCCTCATTTAAAAAAAAAAAATAGCTGCAACTAGAGTGTTAATTAGTCCTATAGGTCTCCTGGAGTTTGCAAATCTAGAACCCTGAATTATTGGGCAACTATTGAGCAAGATGACAGAATTAACTGTTCTGAAATTTTCATGAGAAATCTTGAATTGAGTTTTTAAAAGCCTCTATTACTTGCTTTTCTGAGGCTAGAAAACCAAAACCAAGAAACTCCACCAGATTTCACCTTCACTACCTATGTAATGGGGTGAATTTCTGTTAGGTTGAGGCTCCCAGAATTTGCTAAGGCTCCTGTCTTGCCAGAAAATGACCTTCCTCACTACCCATGAGTCTGGGAACCTGTCAGTCAGCTAGGTACTAGGCCAGTTTTCTTGGGAGAAGTTGTAGATATTAATTCCATATAGAAAGTAATTCATTGTTTCTTAATAGTTGCTTGTCATTTCTGATTACATGAAATCATGTTCAAATATGATACTCCAGGAATAGCCTTGATTACAAAATCAATTTATCTAATAATACACTGGTAGAAAGGTGGGACACATTCTTATTGAACCTATGACAATAATTATTTTGCCATAAAAAGTAATAACATTCATTAGAAGTTTCTGAATTCTGGAGGTATCAGTGAGAATCAGATGCTATTTTAAAATGTTTCATTTTAGTTTATACAAGCAGTGCCCACAAAATTGAGAGTTAATTATAGCTTAAAGAGAAAGAAAGATAAAGATCTTCATATATCTGTTAGAAAATAGAGTATTAAAACAGCGTCAGCAACAAATAGCCACAACGAATGTCCCTGATCAGTTGATTTAATCTTATGTTATTCTTGTTTCATTGGATCTTGGGTCTGCCTTCTGCTTCTACACAAACATTCTGCATGTTAATGTTCAGTTTTAGACATATACTCAAAGTTGATGTTGTAATTGTAACTGTCTTGTTAAATTGCCACATTTCCTTTGGTAAAACCATACACATGCCTATCTTAGATTTTTGTAACTTGGAGGCTTTTAGTTACACATGCATTGGCTTAAGAATAAATTGCATTTGCTAATTAAATACTAATCAATTAACTTTGTGGTAAATTTAGGCACTGTATCCTTGTTTTCAGATTATTATCTATTCCACGTTAACCTTGTGAGAACAAGATATTTTTCAAAATCTCAATGAATAGTGAAAGACTAATTGATTTTAGTAAGCACTTAGAAATACTGTTCTAGAATCTATAATAAGCATTATCATCCCCTAATTTAATTATTGTCCTCCCAAAAGGATGTAGTCCAAAAAGAAAATAAAAACAGGAAAAGCAGTGGATAGGACTATGACTTTCCAAATCCAGTTATACATATGTATAACATTTTAACAAAATAATGAATCTCAGTGCCTATGAAGGGCTAAAAAATAGCATATAACCACTAGGGGAAAAATGTTAATTCATAGAGAAATTGACCTTATTTTTGTCAAAAAAAAATAATAAAACTTGTATACTTGCACTTTTTTGTGTAATGTGTGTCTAATTTATTACAATTGTTTTTAGATCACAAATTCTGTAAAATTTATGAATATTACTTGAAAAACCAAATAAATCTCTAGTATGTATTCTCTATGTCACAATAATTAGGCAAAAATCATAAAATTCAATCAAGGCTATAGGTAGGTTTACATTGAGTTTTTAATGTAAATAGCTTGTAGATGTTTACATTAATATATCTCAAGTACTTCAATAGGTCTCCATAAAATTAGGGTGATTTCTGTTGTAAGAAACAAAAATATTGTGCGTTGGCTTAAACAGTAAAAGGAAAGTTATTTGTTCACGTAATAAAAATTGTATTGATAATGAGATTTTGGTTTAGTTTGATCAGGGCTCTGCCTCTGTTACCGAAATTTTCTAAGCTTTACCTATTTCTGTGTCAGGTACATTCTTAGACCTGCTTCCTCTTGTGAGTGAATAGGCCACCAGGGGAAACTAGGTCTTTATGCTTCGTCATTCACATCCAGGAGGAGTGAGAGACTTCTGAGCAACCACTGAACAAAAGTCCAGGGTTTGCTCTGAATTGACCACTCTGAGCCAACCCCTGAGGCCAAAGTGTCAGACGCATAGGCTGGGTGACTCTTTCTTGTCTCAGATCTGTCATCCTGGTTGGTTTATCCAGTCACTCAGCCTTCGTCTCCCACCTGGGAAAAAGGGTTCTCCTCATACAAACTGGAGGGTTCCCATACGAAGTGGGGAGGGAAGGGAGTGGAATGGATATTGAGTAGGCCTTGTAGATGTCCATTACAGATTTATTTTGCTCTACTCATTCTTTAATTGTTTTGGAGGTAGTGGAGAAATCATTTTTATAATCGTCGTCTCTAACTACACAAGCTGCTTTATTCCACATATAGTTTTTCTTGTAATCTTCTTGGCAATTCTAGGAAGTAGATATTATCTCACCAGATAAACAGAAGGGGGTTAGCCAATTTAGTTTTGCCATATTCACATAGGTAGTAAAAGCAAAAATCAATTCAAACCTGTCATATTCTAAAGTCTGTGCTCTTTCTCTTGTACTCTTCAGGTTGTAAACATATTTGCAAAATAATTTTGAGAGGAAGCTTATTTAGAGTTGGGAGATCAAAGGGTTTATACATTTTTAATAAACATTCATTCTCTAAGCATTTATAGTGTTCTTACTATGTGCTAGCTAGATGGCAGGTGCTGGAGGCACAATAGGAAGAAGACAGAGGTGCCTTCTACTCTCGTGGATTTAGTGGGAGAAGCAAATGTTAATAACACATGCAATCGGGTGTGTAATTACAAACCATTTAGCTGCTCTGTGGTAGGATCTTACCAAGTCTGGGAAGGGTCAGCAGACAGTTTTTTCCTAGGTGACAACATTTGAGTTGAGATCTGAAGGATGAGACTGAGTTAATCAAACAAAAGGAGTAGGAGGAAGGGACAGGCGGAGGGAAAATGGCATGGGCAGTAACTGAAAGGAGTCGTCTTTGCTGGATCATAAAGAGAACACAGGACATGATGCATGACAAGGGTGAGACAAGATGGGCAGGATCCTGCAGGGGCTGTAGGTGTTATTAAGAAGTGTGTTTGAAATTCCCGAAGAAATTATCTTAGAGAGGATTGATTTTATTTACCTTAAATATTTGAGAAAGTTGCTGAGAGAGTATCAGACTATCTATTGGAATTATCTCTCTGAATATTTATAGTGTTTTCTTAAGACATGTTTTCCTGCCTCAGTCGAGCCTTAATTCAGCTATAGAATTACTCAGTCATATTCAGGTTTTCAGTCTTGGCATGTAAATTATTTATAACAGCTTTAAACTTCTTATAAACATTTATAATTTATACTCAGATGTAAAACCTTTAAGATTAAGGCATCTACATATTAGTGAATATTTATCAAAAGAATATTGAATTAGTTAGAGTTGCAAATGTGCAGAGAAGTCCAGACATTAAACTTTCGGGAAGAAATATGGAAATAATATTTACAGAATTAATTTAATGGAGGTGTCAGTGTTTGGTGACTTGACATGCTCTATCGACTGTTCCTATCAGAATTGTATTATGTTTGTGTCCTTTTATTTTTTAGTTATAATTAAGGAATGAGAGAGAAGCAGAGCTTTATTTAAATATACTGTGGATGCTTGCCTGGAACTAAGGTAGTGTAATAAAAACATTTTCTTACTTATTTTTTAATACCATAAATAAAGCATATATCAGAGTTGAACTTAGTTCTCTTGAGTTCCTCCATGTTGAGAAGATAGCTTACTCAAAAGTCCAAACATTTGACCAATGGTATATAATATTTAAGCATAGAATTTGTTGACTACTTGCTTAACAAACAAAATAATATTTTCGATTCTGTTACTTCGCTTGCTGAAACTATAATAACTTTATCAAAATAATTTTTGATAACTGATCCACTTACATGGTAGGAAGGAGGAGGTACTTATTTTAAAATAAATTTTAAAAACAGGAACACATATTGTCGAGAAACTAAACTAATGTTTGTTGGGCAAGCATCTTCATCCTTTTGACTTTGTAAGGGTGGTAAATAATTTATTTCATAGGTAAGAAGATGTATTTTCTTTTCTGAAATGAGAACTTAGTTCTCTTGCCTTCATGTTGAATGACTCCGAGGAAGGGCAGAGGGAGATAGTTGTGCTTAGTTGTCATTAGAGGGCTTGAATTAAAGCATCTTTATTCCTTGCTTGGAATATATGATGTCGCAATAAATTCCTGCTCAAACATTCTTCATACCACCCTTCTTTTCCGGCTAGGAGAACTGATATTCCTTTCCTTATACTTTCAGGATAGAGTAGGTTAAATAAAAACTTTCATGTATAGTGCACTCTTCCTGGCAAGTAAACTCTATTAATCACTTTGAAATGCTAACATTTCTATTAATACTATTTCTACTAAAAAATAACTAAGGCTTCCATTTTTTGGAACATCTCTGAGATTTTCTCCTATATTGTATCATTGAACTTTAGCTCATTCTTTTGGGAGAGTAATAATGCAAGTATTGTTCCCATTGTGTAGATTAAAAATGAAAACTTTAGAGAGCACATATGACCCATTCTATTTAGGTAAATCACGAAGAGGATATGAAGAAGAGGATGTGATAGAAGGACCTGAAATTCACTGTGCACAGTGGTATGTACCCACACCGTGAACTGTTGGGTGCCAGCACTTGCTCATTTTTATCAAAATTTTAAACATCCAAGTAGCAGTTATTTTGCTAAGGACTGTCATGGTATATCCTCAAGGAGTTTTGGAAAAAGATATAATTTGTTCATTTATTTATAAATTATTTATTGACTGATAAACTACTGTGTCATTTGATCAGTACCTTCAGTGTATAGGACAGTTAATGTCAAGGTGAAGTGGGTAAATGGGGAAGGGACATCCTAGTCTGCTTGAGTTGTTGGAGAAGTTCCATAGGAAGTTGTCCCTGAGATTCAGTTTTGAAGGGGGAGGGAAGTAAGTAATAAAGATCTAATATCAATATTTAATGAATACTATGTGTGTCAGATTTCTTTTGTAACTGCTTTATATGTATTAACTTGTTCTCATAACAACCCTAGAGGTAGGTACTACCAATGAGAATACTGAGGCTGAGAGGTTCATCATCTACCCTGAGGTCACACAGTTAATAATGGCTCATTTCCTCTATGTAAAAAAAATGACATGTTTTGGGAATGGTATCAGTTGGAATGATTGGAAGTTATGGTTTGTGGGAGTTTGTAGAAATCTTGATTGGACAGATAGCTATGGGTCAGATCATGAAAGTCTTGGCAGACACAGAAGTTAGAATTTTATTCTGTAGAATTCATATCTATGTTTTTTGGAAACAGAGTCCAGAGTTCACCTCAATCAGAATCAACATGATATGCCTTTTAGAAAGGCAAATTTTCAGGTCCCACTTCAATTCTAACTAAATCAGAATTTCCCTGCCTCAGAGTATGGTGAAGGTGAAGTGATAGATAGACCTTTAGTTCCTAACAGCAGGTGCTAATATTATTTGTCTGTACTTTTTTTTGGCATATAATTTAAGTTGAAAGTTATTGTAAAGAAGGCTATGAGTTTCATTTTGTAAAAGTTGGATTTAACTTGCTTATGAAGTGATCCTATTGAAAATGTGAAAAAAAGAAAGTGAATGTTTGATTTGGAGGCACAGAGTTGTTGAGTCTTCTGCTTATGTTGGCAGAAGACTCTCATGGATGTGGTTGAGATTATTCATGGTGAAAAAATAGAGCAGTAAGCATGGTCTGGAAAGCACTGAAATATGAAAACTCAACTTGAAATATGAAAATGTGACATGTCAAGGGATTAAAGAATTCATGTGAGAAAAGAACTAGGGGGCCAAAAAGGCCAGTGGCTACCTGAAGAAGCAGAATTCTGATGGAGAAGTAGGGGTGGAATCCTGATTAGAATGTAGATGTGCAAGTGGGTGGGCTGAGAGAAAGGGTTAGGTTATTCTTTGTTAAAACTTGACTTTAAAATGAAGAGAAGTAGAGTGATAATCAGAAGGAGTTATAGCATAAATGGAGAGTTTAAACATTACTGTTTTCTTATTACACAATACACAGTTATTGTAAAGGTTGAAACAATGCAAATATGTGCAAAGAATAAAATTTACTTTCATCCAATAGCAAGAGGCAGCAACTGTTAAAATCTGTCATTTTTAAAGCCATGTTTCTATCAGTAGATGTATTTATTCATTTTAATGGAAATATGGTTCAGCTGTTCAAATTGTATGTACCTTAATGTATCAGAAACACTTTATTTCTTTCACTAAATATTCTTCTATATCATTATCTTTTCACAGTTGCCTAGTGTTATTATATCGTGTCTCTACAACAGTTCATATAATCCTATTTTTTGGCAGTTTAGCTTTTTTTAAAATTCATTTTTAAAATTAAAATAGTACTACCATTAATATCACTGTGGCTAAACTTTTTCCAACATAATTGTATACTGTGATAGATTTCAAACTGTGGAATTATTAGATTAAATTAAACAAAGTCCCAAATGGAGTGTGGGTTTATGAGTTTTATACAGCAAATAGCTGGATTAGTCTTCAATAAAAGGACAGACAATTCCTCCTCCAGGTGCAAGGAGAGAGCTTCCCGGTGGTGGGTGGTGGGAGACAGAATTGAGGAACTGCTGTGGGGAAATAATCATATAATCTCTCTTAATGTGGGAAGAAAATATTTTGATGATAGTGAAAGGGCAGGTTATCGTAGGGTGTTGGAAAGTTGTGAGTATTTGAAAAGCAATGAGAAGAAAAAGCAAGGGATTCCATTAGGGATGGTTTCTGGAGTTACTGAGCAAATTCTTACTTGGCGGTATTGAGGACCATGTGTCTGTAGGGCACCAGGCACCTAGGTTTCATTGACCTTTCCAGCAGCATTTCACCTTCAGGTCTAGGAGGTGAAAATGCCAAATATGACTTCATCCATAATTTGGAACTAGTAGGATTAGCATGGGCAAGGTAGGAGCTGCACAGTGAAGGAGTTGACGTCATAGAGAAGCAGACTAGTATCTACAGCCACAGAAAGTTGTCGATGAAGCATGGAGGGACAGTAAAGACATGAAGAATGCATGGTTTGTGGATGTCAGAGAGCTGAAATAAAGGAATGAGAGCTGGAAAATGATAAAATTGTGTTTAGAAAGTGGACCCCCCCCCCCCGGGTGTTTTGAGATTTTAAAAGGGGAGGAATTCTCATTTGAAGTCAAGGTCCACGGTTGGTCATTTGATTTGGTGAGCTAAAGGTAAAGGGAATAAGGTCATGAAACTATGTGCAACTTATCATTGTCCATGTGGATATATGGGTGGTGGGAGGATTTTTTACTAAGGAGGAAAAGAGTGCTGTGGAAACCCCTAATCCTGGATAAATGGTAAAAAGATTTTAGCTCATAATGGTGAAGAATGAGGATACGGTAGTTGATTGACCAGGACAATTTGAAAATGTTTTTGGAAGATGGACATGAAGGTGAATGTTTTGGGAATTGAGTGGCACCAAATTATAGTAGCAAATATGAGCTTCTAGCATGCCCCTGATCACCTGCTAGCGTGAGATACTAGAGTTGGGTCTGGAGGTGGGTAGTGGGACATTACCTCTTTCACCCTCCAGCACAAAAGAGTGAGGAAGACAGAATTCTAAGTGTTGTAGTGAATTTTCCTTTTGAAAACTCCAATGTGTCTGGGGGTAAGGTGTGGGGATTATATAGTGTTAGGTATCATCTGTTGACTTGCTAGTGAACAAAGAAAATTCACAAGCCTCTCACCTAGGGTGGAGGACTGATTGTCATTAGCTGCAATTTTTTGTTAGTTTCCGCATTTTCCTTTTCCTAATGTAAATTCTAAAAGTCTGATCCGAGAGAAATAAGAGATGTGAGGATGTAGTTTATTGGAGAAGTTGTTTTAAATTTAAGAGGGGAAGGTAAAAAGTTATTGCACAATAAAATACTGGTTTTTGCTTGCTCTGTCAAAACTTCTGGGTGTAATTGAAAAAGGTATGAGCTTGGGATCCAGGAGTTTTGCATTACAGATGGCAGTCACAACATTTTGGGACCCACCTCTAAAATTCAGATGTTGAGTCAATGTCCCGGAAAGGTCTTCTAAATCTAAAACTCTTTCATCTTCAATTCTAAGTTCCAATCTCTATTATCTAAAAACTACCCTCTTCTACTCTTAAAAGAATTTTCTTTAATCTATGAACTTAGGAGCTAAGACTAAATTCTGTTTATTCTTAGCTCTTTGCAGACATTTTAGAAAGAAAAGAGTGGTAATGGAATGAGTAGTAAGTTTAGATAGATTCAAGAAAGACCTCATGAATGATTTCAATTATAGGGGTAAACAAATATATAAACAAAATACAAAATTAGGTAGATGTTGAACACCTAAGGGCTGCTTCAGGAACTCCCTTAGCAGCTGTTGGAGGTGGAAGGATGTCTTCGGTTGGGCCAGATGCTTTTAGAGGAGTAAGAGGTGAAAGTTACCATTTTGTTTGACAATTATTGAGGTGTAATAGAGATGACTTATAGATTCTAGTTTCAAGCTTGTGATTTTAAGAACCTTGCACTGTGCTATGCATATTGTATATACCAAACACGTATTTGATTGACCTGAGTTTCTCTGGCAAAGCACCTTGATGTAATTAATCATAATTTAGCACATTCCAAAATTCTGAAAGCAATTTTTCTTTCTGAATAGGAATTCAGAGCCTGTTCCAGGTTTTTCTTTCTTTTCATGTTTACCATCTTTCATTTTCTCTTGTCCATGATATTTTTTGCCTGCTTTATGCTATGAATTATGTATGGCACATACTACCCATACTCTTAAAGCTACTAAAGCTTTGCCCTTTGCACTTTTTTTTTTTTTTTGGCACACCTATTAGATCCTTTAGCTTAATCATCCATGTCTGCCTGTACTAGATTGTTTCCCTTAGAACTCTGTAAGCCACAAAGTGAAACTGATTAGGATTTTACAGTCCTGGTGATTTTCCTTCTGGTATACTACCAAAAAAAAAAAAAATGCTGTAGCACAAGGAGCTGATGAATCATTTTGCAGGGCTTCTGTTTTCTATTTTCTATTTGCAAAATTAGGTATGATCATGAGCATAGGAACATCTCCTAATATCATGAGGACAATAATAAAATCATCAGTGTTAGCTTTGGTCTCTGATAAATGTAACATATAATATTTTTTAGTAAATTGAGTTCCCTAGAGAACATTCATTCTTATGAAATTTCACTTTTGGAAGTTTAATTGCTTGTGCTGGAAGCTAAGATGACTCAGCACCTGCTGCTATGTGTCTGCTGGATTGTCCTGGGGTCCTTACACCTGTTAAGTCATTAAATCATCACAGCAGGCTCTTAAGATAGGTATGGATTTTTCCATTTTACTGAAAGGAGATTGACTCTGAGTGTATGTAACTGATTTTTCTTACACCAGCCAGCCAGTTAAGCCTCAAAGCTGGGATTTGACTTGTTTGTCTTACTCAAACTATACCAGGTTCTCTAACTGGAGGTGGACAAAGAAATGAATTAAGGCCTCATTTTGGATTTAGACACTGATTTGGATAAAAAATGAAGCCAACTGCTGTTGGTTGAGATGGTAGGCTTTTGGGAATTAATTCAGCTTAGGCCTGAGTATAATCTCTGGCAAGGGGCCAGGCTACTGTCACATAATACTGCCAGATCAGAAAGGGTGCCTTGATCATCAGTTTTATTTCTACATAGTACAGTTCCACTGTATGGGAGTGAATCATGGGAAAATAAATCCATATGGGGTCATAGTGTATATTTCCCACAGTTTGTTTGAGGCACCATTACCATGGATATTTTATCTTCTAATGCTTGGCATTTGATTCAGGGTCACGATTCCCAAAGCTGGGCTCTTGGCTGGGATCCAACATCTGCCATTTGTTCCTTCTTTCTCATTCCCATTACATACTTTCCCACTGTTATCTGCTCATATTTTACTACTATGATAGGTTTCTAATCTGATCTTTCCTTCAGTCTATCCTAAATATTGCCTAGTAGAGTAATTTTTCCAAAATACTAATTCTGCTTTAAAATACTATTATGCTTCATACAGTATGATTCCATTTATGTGTCATTCTTGAAATGACAAAATTGCAGAGGGAGGAACTGATTAGTGGCTGTCTGGGCTTAGGGGTTGGGTGCAGAGAGATGGGTTTGACTCTAAAGGGTAGCATGAAGGAAGTCATTGAGTGATCTAATAGTTCTGTGTTTTTATTTGTGATAGATGCATGTGTGATAAAATGACATAGAACTATACAAAAAGTTTTCACTAATGTCAAGTTGCTGGTTTTGGTGTTAATATTTAGTGTACATAATATGTAAGCACTGGAGGAAACTGGGTGATATCTTGAGATCTCTCTGTACACAATCTTTGCAACTTCATGTGAATCAATATTTATTTAAAAAGTAAAAAAAAATACTGTTGTGCTCTAGCATCTTCAAGTTCCTTTGTCTATCATATTCATCATGTTTCATATTCTCTCTTTTCCTCTGAATTAATCATCCAATGGTATCACTCCTGATTTTTTTTTTTCTATTTAGATCTTATTTGGCATTAACACAGTGTTTGACTTATACCAGCTTACCAAAAATGCTTTTGAATTAAAAACTGAACAATTAATTATGCTTTATGAAAGAACAGAATATCAATATGTGGTCTTACTAACCTTCCTTCTTTCTTACCCATCTAGTCATTCAGTTTTTCTTGTCTGTGCCTCATCTTTTCCTAGGACTAATTTGCATTCAAGGGATTTGTCTGGTGGAGTGTTGGGAACTTGAGCTTGCCTGGTAGGGTTGCATTGCCTTTTCACCACAGTATTAAAGCCCTAAGTCCAGTCACAAATTCTAAAAAGCAGTGACTTTTTAAGGACTTAAAACTCAATGTCATGAAGGTAAGATGAGCCAGGAAATCCAGGGTATGAAGTATGATAAACCATATCATCCACCCAATCAAATTTATTGAGATTTATATTTATGTTATACCTCAACATATGGTATATCTTGGTATTCTATAGTTATAGTGTTCTATGAAAATAGGTTTCAGATTTTCCAGTTTCTTTAATGATTTTTTTGGGTCTAGTTTCTGTTAATTACTCAAACTATGACTGTAGAGATGTCTGTTTTCTCCTGTAATTCTGTCAAATTTTGCTTCATATATTTTGAAGGTTTGTGATTAGATCCATACACATTTATGATTGTTACGCTTTCTTCCTGATGAACTGACTCTTTTTATTAGTATGAAAGATCTCTTTGTGTCTTTGTTGTCAGTCTTTTTATGCTTACTGCTTGCATGGTGTATCTTTTCCATCCTTCAAATCTGTGTGTCTTTATATTTAATGTGGATCTCTTAAAGGTAACATGGAGAGTTGAGTCTTGCTTTCTTTTATCCATTATGGTCATCTTTTCCTTTTATTCAGTGTGTCTTGTCCATTAACACTTAATGCAGTTATTGATATGGTTGGATTTTGGTTCCGTTTTCTTTTTGTTTTCTATTCTTTCTGTTTTTTTGTTCCTGTTTCTCCTTTCCTGCCTTGTTTGGGGCTAAATGTTCCAAAATGTTTTTTAGAATTCCATTATAATTTATCTACTGGCTTTTCTAGTGATTTTTGTGTGTGTGTGTATGTGTGTGTATGCATGTACATGTGTGCTTGCTGTAGGAATTATATTTCCTTAATTTTTCTTTGAGTTATTATTTGGGGTTAATATCATTTGGGGTTAAATTCATATGTACTTTAAAAACATTAAGAAAAAATAGTGTTTTATATATACCCTTTCTTGTCATTCTTTTTGAATATTTGACTTTCTTTCTGATGTCACTCAACCAGGAGAATTTTGTTTAGGATTTCGTATACTGCAGATCTCTAGGAGCAAGTTTTCACAATTTTCTTTTACCTGAAAGTATCTTTATTTTGCCATTATTTCTGATGAATATATGGACTGGATATAAAATTCTGGGTTGATATTTGTCTCTCCTCAAAAAGTCAAGAATTGATTCTTATCATCATTTTCTTGTATGTAATGTGTCATTTTTGTTCCTGACTTATTTAAATTTTTTTTTTTTATATTTGGTTTTCAGCAGTTTGACTATGCATACCTGAGTGTAATTTTCTTTGCACTTATTTATTCTATTTCAGGTTTTCTGAGCTTCTTCAATATGCACACCTATGTCTTCTACCAAACTGGGAAATTTTCAGTTATTTTCTCAATGTTTTTCTGCATTATGTTCTCTCGCCTCAGCCTTCTAAAACTCTAATTATACAAATATTTGCTTTTTCGTTAGTGCCCTAGAAGTCCCTGATAATCTGTTTTTGTTTCTCTCTTCTTCAGATTGGGTTTGCCTTTACATCCTTAAGATTACTTAGAATTACTGTTCTGACAGCATAGGGGATAATCACAACATGTGGGTCATCTTTCCTTTAGAAAACGGGTTACATTTTCCTATTTATGCATACAGTAAGTGATTTTGAATTGTACTGGATTCACTTTGTGAATGATGCTTTGCATAGACTCTGTCTTCTGTATGTTCCTTCGAAGAGAAGTGTTTGTTTGTTTTTTTGTCTTAACAGGCAGATAATTTGGCTCAACTTATACTAAATTTTGACTTTCTGTGGCAGGTGGCAGCTCTACTGATCCTGTCAAATAGCTAGTATTGAATATGTACTGTGTATCATGCATTAAAATAGGTGACTATGCTACAAATATAAATAGACTCTAAGCTCAAGAGACTTGCAATCTAGTTGACAGAGATAGAAAAGTGAACAAATAAGCATGTTAAATTTTCATATAAGTACAATGCAATTAAAAAAATTATCTTTGAGACAACTCAATCCTTCTGAAAATAGAAGGTAGTTTATTTTACATATATGTAGTGGTGATGAAAGATTAGCTGATGCACAATAACTATTATACTTTGATTATATTTTGTTAATTCTTGGAATAAAGGACATTTTTCAGAAGTACATTGTATTGTGGGGAAGCATTATTAAAAAATAAATGTTTAAATTCTTGAAGACCATATTAAATAGGAGGAATACTCTTTTTACAAAAGTAAAAAAAGATGATTTGATGAAACGAGCAAACAAAACAAATGATTATAAATTGGGTGATATTAAACATTGCTGAAATAAAAGACTGCTATACTAAAAAAGTTGGGAAAACTCCAAAATGGTTTTAGAAAGACTCACTTAGACTCATGGAAAACGTATCTTAAAAATCTGTAAGTTTCCTATGTTAGGAAACATAGGATTTTCTTACTCATTTTGGATGGTCAGTTTACACTTACTTGTATAAATGAATGGATAACATGGGGTTGGTTCTTCTTTTGTAAAAGCATAGTTACCTTAGAAGTAACTTGAGCCTTTTTTTTTTCTTTTGTTTTAACAGTGTGTCATACTCAGTACATGTATCTGAAGATTACCCAGGTATGCTTCTCTTCTTTTTATTTTTATTTCAAATATTTATATCATGACTCTTTTGAATGAATATTTTTTTTTTCTGGAGATGTAAAATGTATGTAAATATATCTAGGAGTAAAGCACTGGTAGAGGAAGACTTTTAAAGTATAGAATTCTCTTGATTGCCTGGCAGGAATTAATACATGTCTTACCCTGAGACACAGTCCAGGATCAAAATAATTTCCCAATGAAATGTTCTTTACATGACCTCTATGATAGCTCCAGCCTGTGTGCTTATATGACAGTTAAAATGAAGATTCTCTAAACTGGTCTAATTGTTAATTTTGGAACATTATTTGGTCTTTCATAATGTAAGAGTAATAACTAGCACTTATTTGTTCCAGTTATTTCTCTAAGAAAGTGTGTGTGTGTGACTATGTATATTTTTTAGTATTTAAAAAAATTAGCTCATAGTTTAGTATGGAGATAACAGAAACCTTTTTGTAGCATTTAAATTAAGTATTTTATGTGGCAGTTTGCATTAAGCATTTAATCTTTTTAGAAGATTAAATGTTACATTGGAAAATAATTTCTTAGATCATAAACTTCCTTACAGTTATTTCGCTATGTTCTCCATATGTTTTATTCATAGTATTCCATAAAACTGTTACAATTATACAATGGGGGTTATTCATTATTAAGAATATGCCTATTTTTAGTAGTAATATGAAGTGTTCTAGGCAAATTTTACTGGAACAACCAAGACAAGAAATATTTGTGAGGAGACATTTTTTTGTAGATGGTTATGCAGTCAGCCCACTCTTGTGGTATATTATGTCTTTGATGCTGAATGTTTTTTAAGTACTTCAGAAAAATTAAAGCCCCACTATTTATAGAAATACTATAATTACTGTGCTTCTCATCTGAGGCAGGTCATAGAGATGTCAACCAGCAGAGATGCATGACTTTAAGTCAAGGTGATGGAAATTATGCCACAAATTAAACCCCAAATTGAAAATGCTATCAATTATTTTATAGCACAGGATATATGGTAGAAGAACTTGCTTTTCATAAACCAACCAAGTGGACCAAATGTTTAGCTCCCTCTTGTGGCCAAGAGGTATTACTTGGGCTTCTTCTGGCTTTATAGGAGCCCCTCTTGGAAATACCAATATACAAAACCTGAAATTTTAAGTTAAAGTATTGCTTATTATTTGTGCTCTTTTTACTGAATTTTCTTCTTGGAGCTAGTTGGTAATGAACTTCTAATATAATTTCATTTCCAAAATGAAAAGGAGTGTAAATATATATTTATTTGATCTATATGATCAAAGTAGGTCCTTTGTCCACAATAAAACACAAGGATGGGAGAGGGAGATTAGTGCATTCTGGTTTAAATACTGGGGCGGAATTTTGAATTAGTTGTTCCCCAAATCACCAAAATACACTGTAATAGTGCACATTATACCAAGTATTTCCACATACATAATTTCATTTGGTTCTAAATGCCAGTTTGTATTCAAGGCAGAGCAGGAGTGATTATGACATTCATGCTTGAGGAAATGTGCTGAGAGAAGTTAAATAATATTTCCCCAAAACATGTAGTTGGGTGTTAAAACCAAGTCTATAATTCAGTTCTGATTCCTGTTGCTTCTGGGGAAAGTAGTAGTATCAGTGTTTTTATGGAGCTTTCTTCAAAATGAACATTAATATATGATAATATTATCTGTGATTAAATTTTAATACACATTTATGTATACTAAGAATTGTTAGTTGATATGCTTGACTTTTTAGATAGACAGTATTATTTAAAAATTATGTATTTACTCTTCTTTTCCAATATTTATACCTGTGTTTTTTTCCTCTGGCACTGGCTAGAACTTCTGGAATAATTTTTAATAATAGATATGAAAGTTGGCAGCTTTGTCCCTTTTCTCAAAATTAGTGAGCATGCTTCCATTTGCTTTCAGAAGACAAAATATTATTCTTTTTGTCATTTACCAAGCTTTTGTTTATTTTTAAAGAATGAATATTAAATCTTTATCAAATTTTTGCTTGGTATCTGTTGAGATATCATATATACTTTCTCTTTTAAGTAATAAGGTGACGAGTTATATTAGCAGATATCCTTATGTCGATCTAAAAAGAATTATGTACATTTTGTCATATACTTTAGTATTAAAGATTTCATGTTCCTGAAGGAATTAAACTATGCTTTGAGTATTTGATGGAACTTGCAAGCAAATCTGTCTGACTCCAGTACTTCTTAGGGATGATTCTGGGACAGTTGTCTTATTTTTCTGCCGTGATTATTGGTCTGTTCTGTCTCAGTCATTATTGATTTCAGCATATTATGTGGGTACAAATGTTAAGGTTACATATATTGCTCTTTCCCACTCCCTTTGAGTCAGATCTTCAAGCGTGTCCATCCCCCAGTTGGTGTGCATCACACTCATTATGTATGTATATACCCATACCCTACCCCCCCCAACGCAACACCCGATAAATGTTATTCCTACATGTCCACTTAGGTGTTGATCAGTTAATACCAATTTGCTGGTGAGTACATGTGGTGCTTGTTTTTCCATTCTTGGGATACTTCACTTATTAGAATGTGTTCCAGCTCTATCCAGGAAAATACAATAGGTGCTATATCACCATTGTTTCTTATAGCTGAATAGTACTCCATGGTATACATATACCACATTTTATTAATCCACTCATGAATTGATGGGCACTTGGGTTGTTTCCACATCTTTGCAATTGTGAATTGTGCTGCTATAAACATTCGAGTACAGGTGTCTTTTTCATAGACTGACTTTTATTCTTTTGGGTAGATGCCCAGTAATGGGATTGCTGGATCAAATGGTAGATCCACTTGTATCACTTTAAGGTATCTCCAAATTGCTTTCCACAGAGGTTGAACTAGTTTGCAGTCCCACCAGCAGTGTAGGAGTGTTCCTATCTCTCCACATCCGTGCCAACATTTATTGTTTGGGGACTTGTTAATAAAGGCCATTCTCAGTCATTTTTTAATGTATGTTCTTCTTGAAAGTCATTATGTTGGTGAAATGTCCTAATTTTTTAGCAAAAAGTATAGCAGTTGGTCTATACTTATAAAAATCTTCGCCGTGGTTATTTCTCCATTCTGATTTCTATTGTTTGTATTTGTTCTTATCTTTTTCCTCCTTTGGTTTGTCTTCCAAAAATTTGTCCATTTTTAAAATTATTTCAAATAAATAGCTCTCTCTAATGTGTTTAATTTCTAAATGCAGTAATCTTGATGTCACCTTTATTAATTCCTTCTTATAAAGTTTTTTAGGCTTATTTTTTCTGTACTTTCCTGCATTATTTGGTTCAATGATTAGTTCATCATCTAACTTTGAAAACATGAAAATTTTTGCCCTATGGAAATGTATCTGTATTATCTACTGAAGTCAGGATTATGTCAGCCTAGCTTGTGTTCCTGGGAACAGATTTGTCCTTTTATAATTGTGATCTACTAGTTTACTTAAGACATCTTTGAAATTCACTTCATAGTTTGCTTTTGTCAAAATGAAAATTTAGAGGATCTTTTGAGATAGGCATACATAATTATATGTGTGTAAATGAAATGCTAAATATTATGTTGACTCTTCAAAATGAAGTGAAGAAATAGAGCAGCCTTCTGAGTTACTTGTTCTTCTTTGTAGATTTTATACTGAAGATAGTTTTTTTTTTTTAAGGTAGTGGATTACAGAATAGGTAGGTATATTACAAGTCACAAGTCAGCAGGATTCTTTAATTCTTATCTGTTTCCACCTTTAATTAGGAGGCTTACCTACTGACGGGAGTGAAATCTCTCATCCCTTGCATTCATCATTAGAATTTAGAAGAATGAGGGGGTAGTTTCTGGATCTTCTAGTACCCGTGAGTCCAAAGAGTCTTGACCAACATGAGCTACTTAAGTGTTGTATGTAACTTTATGAATAAATCACTTAAGTGAGAATTAGAATCCTATACCGTCTCTATCAAATTATAGTGTCTAAGATATTATTGTTTTTATATTTAATAAGCATTTATATTTAATAAGGTACTGAAAATTTTTGTGACAATATTTTCTATAATTAAATAAACACATGGTATAGTGACAAAGCACTGATTTTTAGATTCAGATAGATTCAAGCTTCACCACTTACTAGCAGTATAACTAATTACTTAAGTAATTTGAGTAAATTACTTAGTTTCTCCGAGCCTAAGTTTCCTAATCTTTAAAATAGTAGTAATAATTGACTGGCTTTGAGGATGACATGAAATCATACAGAAAATTCAGGGAAAATATACAGAATATAATATAAAATCAAGACAAATATTATTTAGAGTTATAATTATTATTTCTCTTAAGTTATATGGTAATGAAGAATGGAATAACATGACCTAAATTAAGCTGCATTTGACATAGAATAAAAGTGATAGTTTAAACATGCTTTTCCATAGTTCTATTCATCTTTCCCCAGTTGTCTATGGAAATTCTGGTAATGTTTGCATAGTCTGGTAGAGAAGCAAAAATATTCATATTGTTCACATGTTAACAAAGATCTGTAGGTCCTCTATATCAGAGGTCCCCAATGTTTTTGGCACCAGGGACCGATTCATGGAGGACAGTTTTTCCATGGACCAGTGTGTGTGTGTGTGTGTGTGTGTGTGTGTGTGTGTGTGTGTGTGGCGGGGGATATGGTTTGGGGATGATTTAAGCATCTTACATTTACTGTGGAGTCAAACCTCTCTGCTAATGATAATCTACATTTGCAGCCACTCCCCAGTGCTACCATCACCGCTTCAGCCCTGCCTCAGACCATCAGGTCTCATAAGAACGGTGCGACCCAGTTTATAGTAGAGTTCATGCTCCTATGAGAATCTAATGCCTCCATTGATATGACAGGAGGTGGAGCTCAGGCAGGTTTGGGAGCAATGGGGAGGGGCTGTAAATACAGATGAAGCTTCTCTGCAGGCTTTCTCTGCAGGCCAGTCACTTACCTCCTGCTGTGCGGCCTGGCTCCTAACAGGCCATGGACTGGCTCTGCCACCCAGCGTTGGGGACTGCAGCTCTATATAACATACACATTAAAGAACCTGTCCCCAGAAGTTTTAAGAAAATAAAAAGTAGGCAGCTCTGGAGTCAAGTGGGAGAATTCTAGTGAAGGAATTTGAGTTTGAAAACATTCTTATTCTGTCACTGACTCATTCTGTTACCTTAAATGCATTCCTTAACCCTTTTTGTGTCCTACTTTCTCATCTCTAAACAAAAATGGCATCATTATTACAGATGTCAGAATAGTTGGAGGAAGATTTAGAATCATTTAAGCAACAATGAGAAAAACAAGTGGAATGGATTCATGTAGTTGGGATGAACCTCAGAGATCATGAGCGGACCTCACTATATAGCTAAGAAGACTGTGGCTTAGGTTAAAAAGGATGAACAACTAGTTAGTAGTAGTTTTTATTTTTAATTTTAAAATAATTAGTAAATAAAGGTTGAGTATATTTGAGGTTTACAATGTGATGATTTGACACATGTATACATTCATAATGATTACACAATCAAATTAATACATTCATCACCACACAAGCTATAAATTAGATCCTGAGGAGTTCCTTTCATAACTATAACTGAAAGTTCCTACCCTTTGAGCAACATCTTTCCATTTCCCCCAAACCCTGCCAAGCACTGTTTTTATGCTCTGCTTCTACTAGTTCAACTTATTTAGATTCCACATAAAAGTGAAATCATGCAGTATTTGTCTTTCCGTGTCTGGCTTATTTTGTACTGCACAATGTCCTCTATGTTCATTCATATTGTTGCAAATGGCAGGATTTCTTTCTTTTTTATGGCTGAATGGAATATTCCATTGTATATATGTACCACAATTTCTTTATTCAGTCATCTGTTGATGGACCTTAGATTGTTTCCACCTCTTGACTATTGTGAGTGATGCTGCAGTGAACATAGAGGTGCAGATATCTCTTTGAGATACTGATTTCATTTCCTTTGGATATATATTCAGAAGTACGATTGCTAAACTGGGTAAGAGAAGAAATAGATAATTTCCTAGAAATATAACAACCTATCAAGACTGAATCATAAAGAAATAGAAAATCTGAACAGACCAATAATGAATAAGGAGATCAAATGAATAATTGAAACCTTCCAGCAAAGAAAAGCCCAGGACCAGAGTGCTTTGCAAGTGAATTCTTTCAAAAAATTGAAGCAGCATCTAGATTTCATGTGCTTTCTTTACTCTCTTAATCTCCTACATTTCTTATCACAATTTGAGTCTACCTCTGTGATTCAATTTGGCCTTTTATGTAATAATGGCTATTTAGGAAATAATGTCATGAAACCTGAGAACATGTTGGTTTGGGATAAATTAAGCCAAAGCCAGAAACTAAATGTGTTCTAAAGCATAAATACTAATTAAAATACAACTGGTAGAAAATCTCTTAGAAAATGGTATGTTTGAAGACATAATCCTGTCTTTCAACCTTATGCAACACACATTCACCAAATTATATGCTCTTGAATCAAATTTTACTGTCTTCCGTTATCAGCACTTTACATAAGCCATTCTGGTAGAAAATTCTTTCAACTTAGTTTTCCACTCCCCTGTTTTCTCAAATACAGTGTCTTAATTTATTTGCCTCTGACTGCTTCAGTAAAATCTCCATCATTCCATACATTTTTCTGGGTTTTCCCTTCTAGTTGGTGGTCAGCTTTAACTTCTGTTGCTCTAATGCTCCCTCTTAATACTCTTTTTCTTTTTAACCTTAGCTCCAAAGAATCCCTTTTGCACAGGGAAAACAGATAATTAGGTTGATTAAGTGGCAAATAACTTCAAATCAGTAAGACTCTCAGTGAGGGCTTGAGAAATAAAAAAAAATCTGGCTCTAATAGAGGGGTTTTTGATGCTTAGCAGAAAGTGTAAAGTTACTGGCAGAAGAGACTCTAGATAAGTGGTCAAAGTCTTAACTGATGAGACAATAATTAAAATAAATTTATATTAAATCTGTTCCTTAATCCGTGGTCCCCCTTGATTAACATGAAAATGTACATTCTTGATAATATTTGAAAACTAAATGAAGCCAAATTTGTTATTAACACTAAGTAATGAGGCAAACTTCTTTTGTTTCAAATTTAATCCATACCCCCCCCCCTTTTACCTGTCTGAATCATTGTTAAAGCCTTATGTCTATTGAGAGTCTTTTGCAGCTAAACTGTACATACAAATCACTATCATATGCTCATTATTCAAAGTCTAAAAATAGTACAGATGTTTCTTTGGAAATAAAGTAATGCCTTAGGGATCTATCAGTTAAAAATCATGTTCTCACTATACTGACACAATATTATGAGAACATGGCTCAAAAAAGATCTCATAAGGTATATTCATTCAGCCATCTGAGCAATAATTTCCGTTAGTAAAAATTGATCCATGCCTCTATTATTTGTTGGGGATATTTTATACTATTTAGTGGGCCATTGATGGGTGAATTATAGGACCATTATTAATGAATTGGTGAAGTGTTTGTCAAATAGCTATTTCACAGGTGCCCTGCAGTCATCAATAAACACGGAAGTGTTATATTACCATATACGTGGAGATCCATATTTATCAGGCAAAAATGCTAAACTTATAAAAATATTATTTTTTCCTGGAGGAAACAAATTGTGAATAAGAAGTTTAAGGACTCGGAATTATTTAATGTCTGTACACTCAACTTACACAGTACGCTCAACTTAAATTCCTTCATAGAAGAATGATAATTGCAAGATTTGATATCAATTAAAATATACATTAGAGCAATAAAGAGGGTATGATTTACAACAAAATCTTCAGCTCAAATTTTTGAATGACTTTTATTTAATCTTTTTATCGCAGCAAGTGCTCTTCTTTAGTTTTCTCCCTCAACTTACTAACCCTGCTTCCTGTACTATATATTGATTTTGGGAAGGACCTTGTTGAGTTAGTAGAGGCAATCAATCGGTTGCATCCAAATGATTCATTGCCACATGGGATATTAGAGATGTATCTGGACAGTCTCTATTCATAGTCTCTATTTCTTTAGGAGATGCAAACATCTTTAGGCCATTTACAATTACTTCACACGTAAATCTTCAGTTCAGTTTGTCCTTTTTTCTGAGTTTAATCAGAACAGTGTGTTTTATGAGAGTTGGAACTAAAGTGATATGGATATAAATTTAACTGTGATTTTTATCAAGGATGTATTTTTTTGAGTTGTTATGCCTTTAATTATCCATGTTTCTTTGCAGATAATACATATGTGTCAAGTTCAGAAAATGATGAAGATGTACTAGTTACTACAGAGCCAATTCCAGTAATTTTTCATAAAATAGCAACAGGTAATAGAAATACATTATCTTTTATTCTGGATTAATTTTTCTTAATTGCACTTAGCTTTGGTTTTTTTTTGTTTCTTTTAGCCAATATAACAGTTACTTATCTTCAGCATTTGTAAATCCAGTTCTCCATCAAATTTTCTATCGAAAGTACATTAGTTTATTTTTCAAAAAATTTTTAAATGCATAAGTTTATAGTACTTAAAAAATCCCGTTTAAATGTATTATGTTGATAATTGCTCTTGCAAAAATATTTTCTGCATAATGACAAACTGAATATTTAAAAGTCATTATCATGGCAATGAAGATAACATGAAATATATCTAATATAATGAGAGCTGAAGGAATCTGTGCTTTAGTTTGATCATATTTTTCTGCACAATGAAAATCATTGTGCAGAAAATGCCTATTGTATAACTCCCTGAAATGACATAATTTCAGAATATCCCATAATTCTTTTGCAAAGGAGAAAGAAACACCTGAGGTGGTTTTATACCGAAACTCATGAATACTTGGTAAATACCATTCTGAAAACTGAAATAATTTTTAAATTACAACTTTCTTTCAGAATTAAGAAAAACAAATGACATTAACTGTTGCTTATCCATAAAATCCAAATTACAAAAGGAAAATGGTGAGGTATGTAAGTTATATTTTTACTTTTTCAAAACAGTATAGACATACTTTAAATTTCCTGGGTATTTGTAGTTAATATCTTCTTTAGTTAGATTAAAATTGCATATGATGAATAAAACTCAAGCTCATGGCTTAGGGATGTTTTTTTTTTTTTGAGACAGAGTCTCGCTTTGTTGTCCAGGCTAGAGTGAGTGCCGTGGTGTCAGCCTAGCTCACAGCAACCTCAAACTCCTGGGCTCGAGCGATCCTTCTGCCTCAGCCTCCCGAGTAGCTGGGACTACAGGCATGAGCCACCATGCCCGGCTAGTTTTTTTTTTATATATATATCAGTTGGCCAATTAATTTCTTTCTATTTATAGTAGAGACAGGGTCTCGCTCTTGCTCAGGCTGGTTTTGAACTCCTGACCTTGAGCAATCCGCCCACCTCGGCCTCCCAAGAGCTAGGATTACAGGCGTGAGCCACCGCGCCCGGCCCTTAGGGATGTTTTGTGTGGTAAGGGGAATGGCTTAAAATTAACCCTGAGAAGTAAGTTCTCTTTAAAATAATAGAAAAGTAGCCAGATGCGGTGGTATGTGCTAGTAATCCCAGCTACTCAGAGTTCAGGACCAGCCTAGGCAATATAGCATGATAGAGTTCCAAAAAAATAAAATAAATAAAATAATAGAAAAGAAGATCTGGTTTAAATCTAAATAAAATGCATATAAAATGTAACTTATTGTGTATTCTTTCATTAAATAATGCAATTGAGGAACACTTATGTAACTTATTCTAACTATACATGACTATATATAATTCTGATGGGACCCTTACAATTTTGTTTGTAAAAAATGATTTCTTTAGCCAATGTAGCACAAAGTGTGCATAGTCTTAGTATAATTCAGGATTTTTTTTTAAATTCATGTTTTTTCCCTGCTTTTAAAAAATTTACTCCAATATTTTAATAAACATCAGGATATTAAACAAAATGAGTGCAATGGGCCTAGCAGGGTTTTTTTGTTTTGTTTTCAAAACTGTGTGTTCGATATAATCCTCCCTTGCTGTTATTGTTGTACCATTCATTCTTCCCTTCTTTATCCACATCGAGAAAAAAACTGTTTCTAAATCCAACAACTGTTAGAATTCTATAAAACCCAAATTCCCTTTGCAGGGTGTTTTGTTTTCCTTGAGAACTTGAAATTCGGTCTAAAAATTTAGGGATGATTATAAAACATCATCCCTAAATAAATGGATTCCTGTGTTCTAAAGAAGCTGCCTTTCTTCTAACTATGTTAATAAGGCCATTTATAGGAACGCCATCATGAATTTTTATTGTTTTTACTTCAGATACATAACAGATATGGCTCAGTTAATTAAAAACTCAAATTTCACATTAAAGCATATTAAATTACTCTTTTGAAATCTGAATTCTAAAACAAATAATTTCTGTGTACAGAAAGTTCCCTTCATAATGTGATTCATATTTATTTTTATAATTTGATTTTTGTATTATTACATTCATTGTTTCTTTTCTTTCATACCATTGTTTAGAGTTGGCAGTGGAAGTGAGAACAATCTGGGATAAATAATGCTGAGGAACTTTTTAATAAAAATTGAATCAGTATCAGCTTGCCAAATGTTTTATCAGAGCAAAACCAAAGGTTTGATTATATGTGTTATTAATATACATCAATATTAAATTGCACAATTTACTTAAGATCAGTGAAAGAGAACTTTTTAAAAAAGATGTCCTTTAAAAGAGCTGAATGTACCCACAAAGCTGTTTGTCTTTCACTACCTTTTGTTTTGAGGTGGTACTGCAGGAAGAATGTTTTATATATAGAATCCACATACTATGCACAAGACCTGCCTATTATGACCACTTGCTACTTTATTTTAGAAAGGAGGCAAACTAGTTTGACCATTAAAATTATCTTTTTTGTTTTATTTTTAAGGAGTCAAGACAGAATAGTACAGTGGAAGAAGATTCTGAAGGTGATAATGATTCTGAAGAATTTTATTATGGAGGACAGGTAAGTAAACATGGTCTTCTAAATGTCCAGTCTCACATTTCTAATAGCCATATTGTTCTAGTGGAAATCTGTACCTGAGAGTTGACGGACCTATGTGTTGTGCAAAGTTCTGTACCTAACTAGAAAATTTGTATAATTTATCTGTTTCACACTTTCCACATATTTTCAGAAATTAAGATTACCTTTGCAATTGTTTTAACTATAATCATTCATTTACATTAAAGTTGTCTTAATTCATTACAGAGATTTTGCAGATAGCATTATGTTTTTGACTTTAATATTTCTTAAGCATATTTTGCTCAGTCAATAATTTGAAATGATGACACTTCTAACAAAAGCATGTATTGTGAATTTTAAATAGAAGATGCTTAGTCTTTATATAAATTTGATGGTCCCTAATTGTTGAGGGACCATCCTCATTATTTGATTATTTGTATTCATTGTCATTGAATTCATTGTATTGAAAAATTGTTACAAAGAAACATTATATCTTAAATACATGAAAATAGCCTAACTTAAATATATGAAATTAGCCTAGTCACATATATAAAAGGACTCATCAGATTTTTCCAGGGTAACGTTAAAATTTAAAACTGAGCAATTAATTTTATGATATAGCTATATAATATGTTGTTTTGTTTCTGTAAACTCCTTGATCAAATGTGCTTTATAATTTGGATAATATAATGGGAGGGTAATCTATTAGAGAAGGGCATTAAAGCCAAAATTATTATGTAAAAGGATGCAAGTAAATTTTTTCATTCAGAATCAGAAATCAGTAATTTTTTAATCAAGCATAAGCAAGGCAGTGGTTAGATGAACATAATAAAAGTAGGTTTCTTATCTCCAGGAATAACTTTCTAGCATTGGGATAGTTTTCTGAATAAAATGTTTCTTTAACCAATATAACACTTTAACATTATGCAAAACCATTCTTGTAGTTTGATTTTTGTTTATACAACTAATTCTTAACAGAGAGGAAGTAAATGCTTTTCTTCAGTCTTGATGTTCAGTCTGGAAGTTTTTCAGATTACCTGCCAGACATTTACTTCATTCCTTTTAAACATTTGCATTTTCTGTGTATCAAAATAGACTAATTTTAACGTTTAAAAATAATGAATTATTCTATCCATATGTCAACTGAAGATATTTAGTAGATATACTACTTATATACCTATGTTTTTTAGTGAAGCTAAAAATGTCCATGGCAGAATGCTCAGGGTGACCCATCTAGAGATTATTTGTGTTTGGTACTTTTGATTTCATCACCTCTGAGACGCTTCTAAGCCATCTCTTTTCATCAGGTGAACTACGATGGGGAACTGCACAAGCATCCTCAGCTGGAAGCTGATTTGTCGGCAGTGAGAGAGATATATGGGCCACATGCAGTTTCTCTCAGGTAAATAAATACCTCTGGTGAATAAAACTAAAATTATTTGGTTGGTCATTGGAATTTTCTACTGGAGTAATTTAAATTAAAGGAAAAATTGGGGGGCTTGCTTCTTTTTGAAGGTGTTTGTGAGAGATTCTATTGTTTCTGCTTCTACAAAGTGGCACATTTAGGGCTATTTGTTTGTTTGTACATGTGGTTTAAGATTACAGTGGTTGCATTAAAGAATTAGTTATTTGGGGGAGTTAGTTTGCAGAAACATGAGTTTGAAGTAGTGCCATAATTAATTTCTTTCTTTTTTTTTTTTTTTGAGACAGAGTCTCACTTTGTTGTCCAGGCTAGAGTGAGTGCCGTGGCGTCAGCCTAGCTCACAGCAACCTCAAACTCCTGGGCTCAAGCAATCCTGCTGTCTCAGCCTCCCGAGTAGCTGGGACTACAGGCATGCGCCACTATGCCCGGCTAATTTTTTATATATATATATCAGTTGGCCAATTAATTTCTTTCTGTTTATAGTAGAGACGGGGTCTCGCTCTTGCTCAGGCTGGTTTTGAACTCCTGACCTTGAGCAATCCGCCCGCCTCGGCCTCCCAAGAGCTAGGATTACAGGCGTGAGCCACAGCGCCCGGCCCATAATTAATTTCTATAATAGATTTGGCCAGCTGGGCCTATGATGTTACTGTAAATCAAGACCACATCCTTGTGAACAATAAAAATAAATAATGCATAACCACTGACATCCAAATCATGTTGTCATCTGGTCCCTAAAAAAAAAAGACATAAATTTGCACAGTGCTTGTTTGAATGATAATATATTTTATTCTGTGGTTACTTAATATATTATTTGATCATAAGTTTTCAGACCATTTTTTAAAATTGCTTCTAATCATTCAGAACACCCCACCATTCTTATTTACCTTTTTTTTCTCTCCTTAATGTATGAAAAAGCCTTTTCTGACACCATAATAGCTTCTAGGAGTCAACTCAGCTTATTTCAGATTCCTATTCTTTGATTACAGTATAGTCTCTAGGGTTGTACCTTCTTCAACGGACATACCCATTTTTAGAGGGAAAACAATTGGGAGGTACAACATAGCTAAAATGTAAAATTGCCAGACATTTTATTTTAACAGCAGAAATAGAAACTCACCACCATGCACAGCCTAAAACAGCTGGGGTTGTGTACCCATACCCTTTCTCTCCCACTCACAGCAGTATATTAGGCTGCAGTTGAGTGAAAGTGATGTGACTATATTTGTTAAAGCAAATCTTTGCAGACTTCAAAGTTTCAGCAAATTAGCTGCAATAGTTTCACAGTCAGTCTCTTGTTATGGCTCCAGTTTAGGTAATATGGATATTCAATAAGTGTTACAGAATGAATATATGAAAAGTCTACAGGATATAATGAACAATTGAAATATGCATAGAATTCAACTTTTTTTATTCAAAATAACATATTTTTATTTAGAGAAGTTTAGCACATGTTGATTTCTTATATAAAAAAGTTTTCTAAAACATATTTCCATGCTGTTTAATCCCCAGTCACATTGCCATGTATATATGAAATTATTTTTTGTTTTTTTACCAAGCATTTATTAAGTACTTGTGATGATCTGTATCAGTATTTATATTACTAATAAAATTATTGATAATTAACATGAAATTAGATAAATGTTTGGAATTTTAGTCAAATGAAGTATCTAAAGTCATAAATGGTTTGATTTACTTTCCCTTGCCTATTTTGCTTACAACAATTTTGATCCAGTTTAAATCTTAATGAACATAAGCCATGTTCCTTCCTGCTCTAAGTTTTCTCTAGCTACAGAGGATGTTTCCAGAATAGATAACTTGCCAGAGGCCTCAGGGCATAAGGCAAATCATAGCAGGAATAGTTTGATGTACTTAAATAAGAATGAATGTACTGTCTAGTCTCAAATACTGAGACTTGACACATGGGACAAGGGGTGGATGGTTAGGTACAAGGTCTTGGAATCATCTTCCTTGTAAGGTTCTAAGTCTATTGAAAACAGACTGTGTTAATTATCTGTTCTTTTACTTAATTGAGGCTTATAAGAACTTAATGGAGTTTGAAGAGCAAAAGTACCTCAATGTGCACAATAGGCTATTTAGAGTCATTTTTTTTTAATGTGCCATCTAATGAGAAAAGCAGCTAACCACATCTAAGTTCTCTGTATGAGATGGAAGTAACTGACATTGCCTAGATTGAGGCAAAACTCTTTTAAAGTATGCTGAAAGAAAATATAGAAAGTAACTGATAGATTTATTACTTAAGTAGGTAATGACAGCTCTATTTGGCCAAACCATTCAAAACCATAATACTGGCTGTGTTGAACCATATGTGCAAACACTGATGGTAATTCTGATTCATATTTTTTTTGAGACATGGTCTTGCTCTATCTCCTGGGGCTAGAGTGCAGTGGCCCAATCATAGCTCACTGCAACCTCAAATTCCTGGGCTTGAGCAGTCCTCGTGTCTCAGCCTCCCAGGTACCTGGGACTACAGGCAGTGGCCATCATACCCAGCTAATTTTTCTATTTTTTTGTGGAGAGAGGGTCTCACTTTTGCTCATGCTGGTCTCGAACTCTGGCCTCAAGCAATCCTCCTGCCTCAGCCTCCCGAAGTGCTTAGATTATAGGTGTGAGCCACTGCAGTCTTATATAGAAAGTGAGTTAGGTCTCTGGGGAACATGAATAAGTCTCACCTTGAATTATGCAGCAGAATACACTGTATGTTTTTCATTATAAACGTACTCCTATAGGCATGTATTTATACAAAATAATATTTATCACTGTCATCTGAAAATAATTTGATACTAATAGTCTTAGAAAGGTAAGAAAATTCTCATTTGGTTAAGAAATAAATGATTCTGATAGTTTCCTTATGGATTTTAAAACTTCCATTTCATATAAAAAATCCTTTGGCTTATGATCATGCCATCTTTCATTTTAAAAAGTGAAGCCATATGAGTAATAGTCTAACCTTTTTATTGTGACTAATGGAAGCTCCTGAGATTTTGACTGTTCCACATTTCAGTCATTTTTTTGTGAATGGACAATTATAATAGTGACTTTTCGAGTTAGTGTTTTTTTTTTGGAGACAGAGTCTCACTTTGTTGCCCAGGCTAGAGTGAGTGCCGTGGCATTAGCCTGGCTCACAGCAACCTCAATCTCCGGGGCTCAGCGATCCTCCTGCCTCAGCCTCCCGAGTAGCTGGGACTACAGGCATGCGCCACCATGCCCGGCTAATTTTTTGTATATATATTTTTAGTTGGTCAATTAATTTATTTCTATTTTTGGTAGAAACGGGGTCTCGCTCAGGCTGGTTTCGAACTCCTGACCTTGAGCAATCCGCCCGCCTTGGCCTCCCAAAGTGCTAGGATTACAGGCGTGAGCCACCACGCCCGGCCCTCGAGTTAGTGTTTTGAGAATAAGAGAATTCTGAAGATTTTTAGTGGATTGAGGAACCCATCCATACTCATGCCACCAAACACATACTTCCTAAAGAAAAAACATATATATAAATGAAAGGAAAGGAAAAAAAAAAAGAGCTACATAAAGCAGGACAGACCACTTTGATTTCTCTGGATTTTTGAATTTCCATTTGTGGTGGCCAGTAGAACTGCTTACAGATCTTCGATTCTCCTGTTCTGTTCATGTGGTAGGATGGTTATTTCCCTGCCTTCTTTAATGTTAGGCACAGAAATGTAACTAATTTTGGCCAATGAAATGTGAGCATAAGTGCTAGTATGTGAGTTCCCCTGTCCTCTGGTCTCTGTTCCCCTGGGCCCCTTAACAATGACAGGGAGCTTCCCCCTCCCTGTTCCATATTAACCGGGTAGTGGGGGTGAGATGTAAATCCTTCTTTGCATTAAACCACTGAAATTTGAGAATGTTTGTTACCACAACATAAATTAGCATACATTGAAATGTCATTCGTCAAAAGAAAATCTTGGGTTGGATGTTTGTGGTATCCTTTCTAGCATATTGATTCTCTATTCTCTGCCTCTAAGCTAAGGAAAAAAAACACCCTGACCCTGAAAATCAGGAAAGTGATGACAAAAAGTATAAAGGGGAAAGAAACCAGGGGAAGAGTATTTTCCAAAAACACTGGGACATAACCTCGATATAAGCTTCAGATGTTCAGAGCCCAGACACTCACCTTTACTCCTGAAGCCTGTACTTTTGTTGAGCAAAACCAGGGATTTTTAAGCTGACTGCAGAGTTGTAGCAACTGTTTATACTGTACCTCTTATGCACAATTTTATATAGGCTTCCTTTCTTATCTGGATCTAATTTTTAAATTTTTCTCAGCTCTGATGTTCTTTAGATAGATTATAACTACTTTGGATACAGTCTTGCAAATGCTGTAATCTGCCAAGATTTCTTCCTGACTACTGAGTTTGCATATTTCTTGGCCCATTCACAAACGTCTCTCCCACACTGGACAAAAACACACACTGAGTAGGCATGCAGAGATAGACGTGCAAGCTGTTGTGTTTCAGATGTCATGGGAAGGTGTATGTTTCTTCACAAAATGTCTTTTTCTCAAAATATAATTTTCCAGTTGTGGAAAGCAGAAATAAGTAAATAGCAATAGAAACTCATTTCTCAAGAACCTGTGCTAGAGTTCTGTGTGTGTGTGCATGCTTGTGTATACTTACAATTTCCTTGACAGTTAATAAGAAAGGTTAGATATATAAAATATATTTTAAAACCAGAACAATCACTGCCTATTTTGATCAGTTTGTATTATAAAGATCACAGCAGTGTAATGGATAAGCTGAAGTTTTATAGAGAAAGGAAGATCAGCATAGATGGTCTAACAATATATTGTGAGTACGTATGTGAATGTCTCAATAATGAGGATGTTGTCTTAGTTAGTTCCATTAAAAATAGAAGAATGAACTGCCAAGAATTCTACCAAACTGAGTGTCCTCAAAAGTACATATTCCTTAAAAAATATTTTATACATACGTGCTAAAACTAGGTAACATGTAAATACCCCAAATCATATTACTAGGTTTCAAGATATGTAGATTCACACTTGAAGCTCTGACTTGAAGGGGTGTGGGGGGGGGAATGGGCAACATACTTAACCTTAACATTTGTACCCCTATAATATGCTGAAATAATAATAATAATAAAAATATGTAGATTCAAAGAATAGCTCATCCCAAATTGGAGATATGACTAGATGTAAGGAAAGAACATTTGTGGAGTGGGCCATTTCAGACCTTCAGTTCCAGAGTGAAACAACTACATAAGATCATTCCTGTGTTGTTTCCCTCATCCTTAAAAAAAAAAAAAAATTCAGTTCATCAATTCAAAGTGATCTTTTCACAGTGAATAAATATTTGCAGTGCATGAAATTATTTTGAGTTATTATAAACCCAGTACTGAATTCAAGACACAATCAGATGTCTAGATTCATAATTCAAGTTGCGTTCATATTTCAATCATTCGACTTGATTCTGCATTTGCTATTCATGAGATCCTGGGCTACTGAAAGTCATTCAGATATAGAAGCAATCCTGATGACTGGGTCACTGCATCTGGACAGACTGTAATCATGCTTTGTAATCTGTCAGTGGGAAACATGAAATTACTGGCATTATATAAAAAGGGCATCACAACGGAAATGGGTTTGCATATACACAGCATCGTTTGTGAATTCTTTGAAGTGTGGCATGCAAACAAAAAAGAACTATTTATAGATCTACACCTGCAGAATCTAGTTAATTGCAAACCTTTAAGGCCTCTGTTTCCAATAAAATTCTGTATTCATGCTCTGCTATAATGAGGAATAACACTTGTAACCCTTTCTTGTCTTTTTCTTTTCATTTTTTAAAAGAAATTGATAACGTTAGAAATTGGGAAGATACTTTTAACCAAAAAAACCATTTAAGAAATCATACACAGAGTACGTTGAAATTCACATAGTAAAGGTTTTAAAAACTTGTGTGTCACATTCTGTTCATGCCTGTGTGGTAAATTCTCTTGAAATGATCTGGATAACTGAGGGTAAAACAGTTGTGAATAGGGTTCTTACTGATTTTTGTTATTTCAGATTCCTTTTTCTCTACCTCTAAACATACCAAAGTTTTGCCAATATAAACAAATTCAAACAAAATTAGTCTTACCCATGAAAATGGCAAAGGTGGAAGATAAAAATGACTAGTGATGATGAGAATATAGGGAACAGTCACTGTGATAACCTGGCTGGTGTAATTATAAATTATTATAACCTTTTAAAACAGCAATCAAACAATGTATATAAAGAATCCCAAATATACTCATACTATTAACATTTATTTGACCCTGTAGTTTTATGTTATTTCATTTTATTTTCTTTCAGAGGATATATTTCTTTCTTTTTTTATTTTAGAATATTACAGGGGTACAAATGTTTTGGTTACATAAATTGCTTTTGTACTGTTTGATTTTCCTATGTCTATTTTCTTTAAACAAATCATTTTAGTTTCCATGCTTTTTTGGTAATCTGCTTGTTCAGTAAAAGTATATTTGGAACATTTACCTTAGTATATTAAATATTTTTATATCATCTTCTTTAGCAATGAGTAGGTTTCTTATTAATCATGTCAACATGTTATAGCTATTTAAATATCTTCTTATTATTCATTGTTCATTTTGTTTTGAATTCTGCTCTTACATTACATTGTTCTAGGTAAAAATTTGCTGGTATTTGTTATTATTTTCTTAGGATTAACTCCTGTAAGTGGGGTTGTGGTAGTCAGGGCATCTTCAACCCCTGAAACTTTTCTTGAACATCATTCGTCATCTCTCCTTATCGTTGCATCTAGTGGCTCTTTGTTTTTACATGCCTAACAATGGATATTTGATCTTTTATATTTGTGAATTATTTGCCAATATTCACGCCGATCAAATTATGACCTCTGTGTTGTGAGGCCTGTTTTGAACAGCCCATGAGCTACAAATGATTTTTGTTTTTTTGAAGGGTTGCAAAAACAAAAAGCAAAACAAAACACAAAAAGAGGAATATGCAGCACAGACTGTATGTAGCCTGAAAAGCCTAAAATATTTATTGTCTTCCTTGTCCCAGAAAGTTTGCTGTACCTTGAACAAGAGGCACAGATAAAATGGTTCATTTGCTTAGTCCTTATTCTTGTCATACTTTCTGTATAAAATTTCATATTTCAATTTGCAGATAATCTCATCCTTTATGAATAGCACAGATGTTATGATACTTTGATGGTTTGTAAAAATTGATTCCTATGTAAATAATTTTTATCCTTTCCATTCTTTATGTAACCTTTAAAGATAATTACCACAAAAGAATAAAAAGTATAATTTCATAAAACATGAAAATGTGTTCAATGTTTTAATATATTTTTAAGGGGAGAATAGGGAAAGCACAGAGACTAAGTTGTATTCTATTAATAATATGCTGCCTTTTTGTCATAGATATCAAAAAGCAAAAAGATCCAAATTTTTAATTTATTATATTACATAAAAGTATTTAATCATTAAAAGTTCCTTCTCTGAGCCCTTTAAAAGTGCCACAATTATGTGTTATATTAATATAACACTTATGTGTTATATTAATATAACACATATATACTTGAATATATAATATACAGAAATTTTTTTTTTTAGTACTTACTATGTTCTAGATCCTATACTTTCCACAGTTCTGAAGCTGGACATAGATTCAATGCCTGACTTCCTACTGACTGACTTATTATCTTTCATTTGGCAACTTTTTTCACTTCCTAAACCTCAGTTTCTTCATTTACAAAATGAGTATGATAATGTTATCCACCTCACAAGGCTGATTGACCTGGTTTCAAACACAAGGTGATAGTATATTGGATATTAACTAGAATACATATATTCAAGCCCTAGCGGTGATGGGTAAGTTACTTCATTACTCTGGGCCTAAGTTTATGCATATGTGAAGTGGAGATAGTAGTAGTATTTTTAGTGTTCTATGTGTACTGTATTAAATTATCACATGTATATCAAATCTTTACAACATCTGGCATATTGGTGCTCAGTAAATATTGGTCATTAACTGTTATCATTTATTTTTTATAGTTATATTGGTTTTATCTTTCCTTATATATAGCATTTATAACTTCAGAATTTTATAAGAATATAAAAAATACAGATATGTGTGTACAGAGGATATTAAAACTATTTTTTATATCCTTTCATTAACTTATAAAAGTGTGCTGGTTCATGGCACTACCTGGGCTATACTCAAAGTTATTCTTCCTAATTCTTTCATGTGGAACAAACTATAGCTACTTATTTTAATTTTGATGTATCAGACTTTTAGAGCTGCCTGTCAAAACTGAGTGACATGTAAGTGGCAGAGCACCTGGATGTTAGGTTCTCTGACATCCAGTTTTAAAACCACTCATGTTTAAATTGGAAGGAAAATTCATGGACACATTATTGTGTGTCTCCCCATACTCCTTCCTCATGTCAGAAACTCCTTTCTTGCTCTTACAAGCAGCTCTTCCTCCTCAGAGGGTATAATGAAAACAGAGCAGGGATGTGGGAAGATTGACTCATTTGCCACAGAGAATAAACATATGCATGCATATGCATATACATAAAGATAGAAAGATGTCTATCTGGTATAAATTGGGTCACAGAAAATGACAATCCAACTAGATTGAGTTAGTTAATTCATGTCCACAGTCAGATCTGAGCTATCTGTGGAAATTAGGGATGATAATTAGTGATTTAATTTTTAATTAAAATAGCCTAGCACCTGCCATTTTTGAGGAAAATTAAAAAATTAATCTTAATCTGTGCTTTCAGGGAATATGGAGCCATTGATGATGTAGATATTGATCTACATATTGATGTTAGTTTTCTTGATGTAAGTATATTAGCTTATACAATATGATTGGTACATGTTAAATACACATTTTTATTCTAGAGAGAAATTTAGTTTTTGGTTATCTTATAATACTATTAGTTACATATTGACTGTTAAAGTGATTTGGGAAGAAATACTGTGGCTTGTCAAAGCAACAGAGATTGTATATATTTTTTCTTTTGCCTTGATTCTTTAAATATATTCTAAAATTTATGGGATCTCACAGTACTTCATTATATCTTAAGTTCAGTTTTAGTTTTCATATGTATAAGGTGAAAATTAAGAGTACTTTGGCCTTCATTTCCCACAACAGTGGGTTTGGGGATAATTTGTAGGCCTTCATAATTTAAGCATTTCTTTAACATAAGTTTTTAAAGTTTTTTTAAATTTTGAACTATAAAAATGACTAATTCATCTTTTAAATATATTTGTGCAGGAGGAGATTGCTGTGGCTTGGGAAGTAATTCGAACAGAACCTATAATTGTTCGACTACACTGTTCACTTACGCAATATTTAAATGGCCCAGGTTTGTTTTATTTCTCTGTTTATTATTTTGAATATTTAATTAGTTGTGCCTTAAGCAAAATAAGTAATTTGGTAATTCTGAGCATAAGTGCTAAAGTACCTTTATAATAATATTTCAATAAGCTTGCATCCTAAGATGGTTTATTGCCAGTGTAACTTATGGAAACAAAAACATAAAAAACATGTAATTGTTTATATTTTTAGAAATAGACACATTTCTGAGAAACAAATACAAAAAAAAAAAACCCTAAAAGAATACTTTGAGTATACTAGAGACTAAGTAAATATACATATTTTAGGTTGTCCCTAGATGTAATTATTTCTCTCTCTGATTCTGAGATTTAAATTTTTTTGTTTTTATTTTTTAGACACAGGGTCTCACTTTGTTGCCCAGGCTGTAGTACAGTGGTGCTATCATGGCTCACTGCAGCCTCGAACTCCTAGGCTCAGGTGATCCTCCTACCTCAGCCTACCTAGTAGCTGGGACTATAGGCATGCACCATCACATCCAACTAATTTTTAAATTTTTTGTAGAGACGAGATCTTGCTCTGTTGCCCAGGCTAATTTCAAATTCCTGAGCTCAAGTCATTCTCCCACCCTGGCCTCCCAAAGTGCTGAGATTATAGGTGTGAGCCACTGTGCCTGGCACCTGAGATTTAATTTTAATGTTTATTTATCCCACCTTGGATTACCGGTGAATTTAGCCCACCTCTAACATAATCCTGTATTTAAAAATGGAGATCGTAATAGTATTTTTGTTTCCTGAATCCTTAAGGAATGATGTTGCTATATTTCTCCTGATAGCTATTTAGAACGAAGGGCCCTATTATATGTCTTGCAAAAACTTTATTGATTAAAATGTTTTTCCTTACATACTAATACACACACACACATATGCAATTGTATCTGCTGAAATTGTTTTAGTTATCAACTGCTGCATTAAAAAAACACCCCAAAACTTTGTGGCTTAAAAATAACATTATCTCTCACTGTTCTCGTGCTCAATCGGATAGTTCTTGCCTTGAGTAGCCTGTGACTTTTGCAGTTAGATGGTGGCTAGGGCTGGTGTCCTCTCAAGGTCTCACTAGGTTGGATGCACAAGATATTAGACTTTCAGGTAGCTTGCAGTTGATTCAGGTGTCATCTTGGCACTCAGCTGGGGCTATTGACTGGAGTTCCTGCCTTGCACGTGGCTTCTTCTTGTGGTTTGGTTTTCTTGTGTACCATGGTGACTGGGGTCCGAGCTCGAGTGTTCTAAGAGGCAGGATGTGGAGACTACTGGGAAAAGGCACAGTGAGTCTTCCATTGTCTTCTACTGATCAGAACAGTCGAAGAGCCCACCCAGAATCAAGGACAGCGACATAGACAGCACCTCTGGGAGGGGTGGCCATCTTTATTTAATCTGCCACACATATGTTACTATGGTGGATGCACATTTTTCTCTTGGTGTATCAAGGAACATGCATCTACTCTTAGTTTTCATATAGGAAAAGTACTTGTTCTTTCAGATTTATGAAATACAGGAAAATTTTTCACTTTGAAAATTAGTTACCTGTTTTCTATTTTTCTATAATACATTCAATTTAAATAACCAACTCTTAATATAAATAACATATACTAAGTGATGTGATTGATGCTAAACAACAAGAAATAAATGTTAAATATTTTTTCAAATATATAGAAATGTAATAAAGAACAAAAATAATTACTCGTAATTGTTCTATATTGAGAAAACTAAATGGTTTGGTGTTGTTTCCTGTTTTCTACACGTGTGGTTTATTTTCATAAAGTTGACATTGGATTGTATAAATAGCTATGCACCTTAATGTTATGTCATGAGACTGTCCTCAAGCTATTAAATAATCTACAAAGGAATGATTTGTAATATCTTCACAATATTCTAGCCTCTAGGTGTGTGTTTTGCTGTTTCCCCACATATTCCGACATATGGCTAACTTTTTTTTAACTTTAGTGATTTGAAATGTGCCTGTCTGATTTTATTCTGATGGTGGTTAAAAGAAAAGGAAACCCTCATGCCTGAACTTTGTTTTATTTTTTAATATTTAGGGTTAAGAATGAAATTCGGTCAGTTAATCTCTACTCACCCAAACCCCATATGTGTGAGATGTTACTGTAGCGTCCTTTCTTTTGTTTGTTTTCAGCATATTACCGAGGTACAAATGTTTAGTTTAAATATATAACCTCTGCCCCACCCGAGTCAGAGCTTCAAGCATGTCCATCCCCAGATGGTGCACACCGTACCCATTAGGTGTGAATAGTCCCATCTCCTTCTTCTCCACCCACCTGTAGCATGCTTTTATGTAATCTTACAACTGATACTTATTTTGTGATGTAATCTTGAATTTAGGCAGAGATTTTCCTTCACAATATCTCTAAAGAGTTTTTTACATTTGCATGGCTTTATAAATACTCTTAACAATCATTTTAATTCATGTTTAAATAATTTTATTATTCAATACTACTTCTTTAGTATCACAACTCATCTGTTCTTTCTTTTTTGTCTCTAAATTTGTATATTTAACAATTTGTAAACTAAGGAAACCTGAGGGGTTATACTTTGTTTTTTCATACCTAAGAATGATGTTTTCTTTTGTGAATGAGATAAACTTGATCAAGTAAAATTTATGGGGTCATGATAGTTTTAATTTGTGTCTGAATTGTTTTAACTTTTTTCATTTGTAAGTAATCTGTTTTGGTTTGTTTGTGGTTTCTTGTGTACTTCGTGGACTATTTTTTCTTCTTTTCCCTCTCTCTCTTTTTTTTTTTTTTTTATTTTTGAGACAGAGTCTTGCTCTGTCACCCTGGGTAGTGTGCAGTGGCATCATCATAGCTCACTGCAACCTCAAATTCCTGGGTTCCAACGATATGCCTCAGCCTTCTGAGTAGCTGGGACTACAGGTGCATGCCACCATACCTGGCTAATTTTTCTATTTTAAGTAGAGATGGTGTCTCTCTCTTGCTCAGACTGGTCTCAAACTCCTGAGCTCAAGCCATCCCCCAACATTGGCCTCCCAGAGTGCTAGGATTACAGATGTGAGCCACTGCCACTGGCCTGTTTTCTCTTCTCCTTCATATCATCTTTTCTATATTTATTTTTGCTTGTATACCTAGGTCTTAATTCACCTCAAGACAATTTTATGTAATTATTGTTCCTTTTTAACCTGCTAGTCCCAATATACAGGTTGGATCCAATTTTTTTAATCCTCCATGTTGTTTTTCATTTCTCTCATTCTTTCATCCTTCACATCTGAGAACTTGATAAGTTTTTGCCAATCTGTCTTCCATTTCATTAAGTGATATTTTTTTCATGATTCAGTCTTGACTGTTCCCATTGTATTTTTAATTTGACCACATTCTTTACTGATTATATATTATTCCCACTTTATCATCACAATTGCTTTCATTCTATTTGTTCAGTATCCTTTTGAATTTTGTTGTGAACATGAATCAGTTAATTGTCCAAGATCTATCATTTTATTCCTATAGATGGAGTTTCGTTTCCCTCAATATTATATGCAAGCAGGAGTTGAAATGTACTTCTTACAGAAATTAGTATGATTTGTATATAACTTCTTCCATTAAGAAGAGAAAAGAAAGAGAATTCTACATTCATTCTACTTTAGATTCAGTAGTTTTGAGATCTGACAGCTGGTTGAGGTGGGTGGGAACTCTGTTGGTGTCCCACCCTGATCCCATCTGACACTTCTACCGGCCACACTTTAGCTGCTGACAGCCCACACTTGCGACCTTCAGTAGATTTTCCTTAGACAAAGAAACTTTCTCTTTCCTGGGGAGAGCAGGTAAGTACTTGGCGGTTCCTCACTTTCCCCTCACCCTTTAGATATGACTGGTGTGGGCATGCAGTGGCCTAACTACTCTGCCTCAAGGCTGGACAAACTCTGAGGTGTAATTTATTCTCTACTTTTACCCACAGGATGGGGCCAAAGCTGGGACTCTACCTGAATTTGCACCCTTGCCTGGCTTCTTTCCTTTTCCTGTCCTTCTGCCACTTCTTGATTGATCCTCTTATTGATTTCTTCTGAGAGCAATTCCTATTAAATTATGTGCTCCCAATCTTTAGTCAGAGTCTGCTTTTGAGAGAACTTGACCTAAGATGGTGGGTGGGTCAGGGGTCAAGAAGGAGGTGGATGTCTGCTTGGCCCTGCCAGGCCAACCCTTTGCTTCCTGCGCCGCCAGTGCCCAAGGGAGCTGGCCCAGAGTCTGTTCTCTCCTTCATGGTTCATTTGCCCCCGATTTTGAGACGTTTGGTGGTGGTTGGCTTTCAGCATCCGCCTCTTTCACAGAATGAGGAGTTTTGCACCAGCCCTTCAGGGTTTCTTAAGATTGATTCCATCTGCTGTATTTGTAATAAAATTTACTGGAAGTTTCTCACCTGGAGATGGAACTACTCCAAGTCTTTGGTTCTTTTGCTGGTTTTCTTCTGCTTCTGTTATGTGCAGGTTATGATGGTGTTTGTGCAACAGTATGTACTTATATTACCATCTTACTAGTAAAATTCTCCAAAAGGTTATTTTTTTCCTTGTTGAAAATTTGAAGAAAAAATATGATTTAAAATGCATAGTAATCTGTAATAAATGACTAGAACTAGAGACATTACTAAAAAGGAACATGTAATTTATTATTCCAGAAGAAATAATTAGGTTTTATCCTAGTTTATTATTTGGATTATTGCAAGCAAATTAAAAAGTGAGAAAATATTTCTTGAAGAGTTTTTTGCAATGTATCTTTGAAGGTATCAGCATTTATAGTAAAAAGAACTTGCAAAAATGTATGACTAATTCAAGATTTAGACTGACCTACTTAAATTCTTTTTGAGATGCAAAGAGTGTATGAATATCACTTATTTGAACTACAATATTTGGCTAGGGCTAATCTGATAGTATGTCTGTGAGTGAACAGGAATGATAAGAATTGAAGAAATACATCTCCCTACCCACTTTGAAGCTAATGATAAGGTTTATTTTTATTGTGCATGGAGAAATATACTTTAAATAAAGACATGATATAATTTGTTATGATTCTTATGATAATGTACATATTTTTCACAATTGCTGATATGTAAGTGCAGTTTATTATCTCACCAACAAGGGTATTTTAAGTTGAAAAGATAAACACCTAACATTATTTTAAAATGTTTCTTGTGCATATTGTCTTATTATTGGTACCTCTATGCTTACTGATCAGAGTGTTAGAATAATTTCCACATATCTTGAACAGCTTTCACTTCCCAACCACAATTATATGAGAGAGAAGAAAAAATTGAATAACTTTCACTCTTTTTTAAAATATGAAAATATATTAGGAGCACATTCTGTCAAGTTCTTCTTCATTTCCTTGCCCCTTCAGAATGAACCCCATGGGAAATTTGATTGTTTTTGAGGTAAACTTGTAAATAAATTTGGAAAAAATAGACATTTCTATAATGTTTACTTTTCCTATTAAAGAACCTTTGTTTTTAGTTTCTAGTTTTACATATCAGTACAGTTGTGGGTTTTTTAGTAATTTTAAGCTACATTTATTACTGAATACTTGTTTTCTTAATTGGACTTTTTAAATCCAATTTATTTTGTAACTCATTGGTTATCAGGAAGCCATTATGAAAATATTTAAAATGTTTAGATTTACAGAAAAATTGCAAAGATAGTCCAGAATTCCCATATGTTCCACACCCGGTTTTCCTGATTTTTATTTTCTTACATTAATACATTAAATGATATTAATTCATTACATTATTTAACAATAATATTCATTTTATCACTTGAATTTTGGAATATATTTGAAAGTAGCATTTTGTGAGCTCTTTCAACATATTCCAAAATTATGAGTCCTTAGATTTTATGTTACTAATTTTGAGTAAATGTTTATAATGTATATTTTCCTAAAAAATTCATCATTTTGATAAAATATTTACACTTATTTTCTAGTCATGCATACTATGACTTAATTTTGGTCTTTGTATTATTAATTTATAGAAATAATTTATATGTTCTTGATAAACATTTGTATCTATTATTATCTCTTCTCTCTCCCTCTATATTGTACACAATTTTCTCCAGTAAAGGTTTTAGTTTTTCTTTGGCATTTTGGACTTTTCTACTTTTTTGGCCAGTTCCCTTTTATTTCTCTGCCTTCCTATTCCTAGTCACTTTTTCTTTTTGCCTCTGAAGAGATTGTGTCGTCTTAGAGAAAGCACAGTGTGTTCTCATCTGTCATCTTAAAAACAAAACAAAACAAAAGCACAATTCTTCTGCGTTTTCACAACGTTAGAAATTTTTATTCACTTTTGAATTTTGATAGCCCTGGATTTGGGACAGGTGAGACTGGAATGATGTCTACTCTGTTCCTCACTCTCTGAGGATTGTGGTATTCTTAGGAAAGGAACTAATTGTTTGGTGAGACTAACACCAAATTCCATGTGTTTGCATGTATGCTTGCATTCCGGAGTAATGGCCAGCACAGTAAGGGAGGTAATTTGGGGAGCCATTTTGGTTTACAGAGTGGAGCATGTGTGATCTGAGAAGGTCCTATGAGCAGAAGTCTTTGCTGTGGTTGCCTGCTGCCCCTACTGCTGCTGTGAGTGGCAGTGGCTGAGCTCCTACATGATGCCATCCTTTGAACACAAGTTTCCATTCCCTTTCACCTCATTAAAATGCTGTTCCAGCATTCTTCTCCTTCCTATACTATTCATTTGTCTTTTTCTCCCAGAAGATTCCCACCAGCAAAGATTTCTGTCTTCAAGCAAAACAAAACAAACAAAAAAACCCCTCTTGACCTCAAATCCCTCTTCAATTGGGACCCTAATACTGACTGCTTCCGTTGACTGTTGAATTTCTTGATTAGATTGGTCTCTAGTAGCTTACTTCATTTTCTTTCCTCTTTTCTCAAATCCATTCAAGTCTGGTTTTGAGCCCATTGTTTCACAAGCATTGCTCTTGTCACTGTCACCAGTAACTTCAATATTGCCAAATTTCCCCATCACCAACTTTGAGTCCTCATCTTGATTGACTTAACAGTATTTGATAAAAGTTGTTTACCTCCTCCTTGAAAAAGTTATTTGAATTTGTGTCCAGCAGTGCTCTGGAATCTCTCATTCTCCTGGCCATTTTTTCCAGCCTTCTTTGCTGACGTAGCCAGACTTTCTCCTCCATATACACACACGAAATGCCTTTAAATACATATATATTCTGGTGAATCCAAAATCGCATCTGTAGTATATTCCTCTCAATGCCTCAGAGTTGGGCTTCTCTATCTAATTGCCTACTTAATTTTTCCATTTGAGTGTCAAATAAGCATCTCAAATTTAAAATAGCCTGATAACCAATCTTCTCCACCTCTCCAGATTTGTTTTTCCTGCAGTCTTTTACATAATAGGAGTTGGTGGGTTCGTCCGTCTAGTTGCTCAGGCAATGATCCTTGGATTCACCCTTGATTCCTCTTTTTCCGACTCTTCCAATCAGTCTGTCAGCAGAATCTGTCAGTTCTCCTAAATATAGTAATCCAAAATGTTTATCACCTCCACGGAGCCAAGCCCTATAATTCTTGCCTCACTTCCTGCAGTAAGTCCCTGACTGATTTTCCTATTTCTTCCTTTGCCCTTTGACAAGTTGATCCTACACAGCCCCACCCATGGTCCTTCCCTGCTCCCATCCCCTGACACACCTTTTTTACTCTGTCCAGCTAGAACATGTATGCATATCTTGTCTTCAGGGGCCTTGCCCTTGTCATTTCCTCTGGGGTGAATACTTTTCTTCCTGTGCATAAGTGTCAAAAGTTAAAACCTGTGCTCACGTAACCAGCAGCCCCATACCATTTCCCTTCTTTATTTTTCTCTAGAGCCTTTACCATCCTTTACCATTGTATCTATTTTCTTACCTGTTTTTCATCTGTCTCCTTCCACTGACTGCAGGTCATGCTGGCAGAGAGATCTGAGTGTGTGTTTTTACTCTTCCATCTATAGTCACTGGCACAGGGGCACCCAAGAAATACTGTAAAAACTTGTGAATAATAAATGATGAGTGACTTTTTGAAAGAAGTTATTAATTTCATAAACACTACAGTTATTGACTTAAAGAGAAAATGTATATACCTGGTAAAGTACAAAGCACATGAGAGGAGATATATGCAGTGAAAAGTAAGTCTCCTGTGCCTTATCCTCAGCTCCCATTGTTTTATTCTAAAAATGGTGTATGAATATACAAATGTGTGTTTCCAAAAATAGTGCACTGTCCTATGCATGGATATTTAAGCTGTTGCTTATTTTCTAGATCATTCTTAATCATTACCCATATTATGCATTTACATATACTTATATTGTACATTAAATATACTGACCAACTATGATCTCTTTTATATATAGCATAGATAGCAATGTATAAAACTGTGTGTACACTATTTTTAAGGGTGTGTGTATGAGTAGACACACATATGTACTATTAACTTTTTTTCCTGGCTGATGGTTAAGTTTCAAGTCAGTCTTTGACTGTGATTTTTTTTCTTTTCCAGTGCCCACTGTTGATGTCTTTCAGATTTCCACAAAAGAGCGATTCGGATTGGGACATCAGCTAAAAAAGTAAGTTTTCCAAAATGTATAACAGTAAATTTCTGTTAAAGAGAACTGTGTTATTGTTTGCTTTCTTTTTAAAAAAAATGTTTATTTTATAAGAGCTTTTTGAAGTGAGTGCCTCAGGAGAGGATATCATCCTGATGTTAGGAGCTGCGCTGATAATTTAGTTAGCAGAGCTCACTTACTTGCCTGGGCCAGGGTCCTATTTGTCACCCCAGATCGATCCACTTCCTTCCCTCTAGTACCCGGCGCCTCACCTGGAAAAGCTGGCCTGTGGACGCCGCAGGTTCCTTTGTCTCTGTGCTCCAAATGTGACCAGCAGAGGGAATAGGAGAGTAAGGTGGGAGTACTGTTGCCCAGGTTTCCTCCCTAGGAGGTCATCTTGAGCTGGCTGGTCCTTCAACTGAAATTTCCCATTCTGCCCCAGGCTGCAGCCTTTGCATGACTTTCTTACTAGGTTCCAGTGATGGTTCCACCTGCTTGTTCCTTGGAACCTAGAGGTGGTAAGAGTTTAGCAGCTACTAGCCTTTGGCTACTGTACTATCCCTTCTTCCTGTGTCTATACCTTTGAAACACCCCTTTTGTAAATAAACTCTTTACTTCCTGTTTGGACTTGACTCACTCATACAATGACTTGGCTTATCTCTTATAAATGGACTTGGTTCTTCAAAAATATAATATGTAATTAATGTGAATAGGCAGATATATTTCATTAATAGCCCATATGGCATTGCATTTATGTATTCACTAGGAGTCTGGCACACTATGGTATTTTTAATAGACTTGAAATAGAAATAAATGATAATAGGTTTTGAGCATCAGGAAAAAATGAATGATGCTCTTGTGTATTGCCTCATAAAATCTCAGAGGCTTATTGGTAGTTTTTCCACTGTTCGACTCTAATTTGCTTTTGCTTTCTGGCCTTAGAGTCTATTTTATATAAAAATCTATTTTCTTAAAAATAGAAAAAGTAAACACTGATAGAGCCAGATACAGTGGCAGCAGAAAGAAATTGCATCGTAGAGTAGAAAAAGAACACCGATAAATTACAGACATAAGAAGTCCCTTTAAACTTTTTCTAAAATCAAATGATCACTGGTGTGATCTAAGACATAGACCTTTGGGGCCCATTGGCCTGTAGTGTGGTATGGATCCAGAGTGCTTATTGTGGTTTTCCTGAAGAAAATAATGATGTTGCCCTCATGTTTCCCTTTGGTGACCTTCCACGCAGAGGAAGTCTGATTTTCTCTTCAGACATAGAGTCTAGAGGGGCCTCAACCTTTCACAAGAGGACCTAAAACTACCCCCATTTAACTGACTTTTACAACGTAGGCACATACCTCAATTCGCCAAGGTCAGAACATAGACAGTAAATTCTATAGGTATTAAAACATCTGCTTTAAGAATTTGTATTTATGGAGAATCCCCCAAAATTATTTATTCTTCTGAATCTGCAAATTTAACTTAAATGTAAATTTATCAAGAGAGACCATTAAAGAACTGTATATGTAGGCCCTTTATAATAATGCAGTCTGCATGTTCACTTTTATTTTAATGAATTTTAATTTGACACCATACATTGGTCTTTTTGAGCAATAGTCTTAAGAGAAGACACACTGAAGCGATCTATTTCGTTTACTAAGTAGAGAACTTACTCAGGTTGTTTTGTGTGATGTAGGAAGTCTCATGTGTGTTATCTAGGGTTGTACATGTCATGGAGCTCTAGAATTGTTTCAAGTTTTTATGACTTTAAATTGAGTCAGCATTGCTCAAATACGAGTTGTGCATAGATCACATTTGAAAGAAAAAAATATTCTTGTAAATCCCCAGTGTTGGGTTTAAAGATGTGCAAATACGAAATTAGGTAATAAACCCTTAGTGTTTAGAATTCTGCCTCTCAAGCTAAATTCAACTTACAATGTATGTTGAGCACAGTATATTAATCACTGTTTTCTTATAAGGATTCACAGGAGAAATTTTCTCAGTTTTCCATTCTAATATTAGGTCAGCTTTTCCAGTGCAATTAGTTTTATTTTTTTTATTGGATTTTATTTCCTGCATTGAGCCCATATCTTAATACTTCTTATAGATGAGCATAGAGTCTGTCTCTGTATTATGCTACCCAAGTTGGGTACCGCCTGACCTTGCCCCTTTACTTCTGTGATTTTCCCCTCACCAATTTCCTCCCTTGATTTTATATTGTTTTCCTTTATGTACTTTTGTATGCAACCTAAGAACTTCAACAAAAAAAAATTGTGATGGGGTTAATCAAAACAAGACAAGAATTACAAAAGCAAAAAAGTCTCTGAATATATAGCTTTCTACTCATAATGGCTTCTAAGTATATTATATAGGCTCAGAAAAAGAAACTATGTATATAATTGCAATCCTGACAAATTAAAGAAAGCTGTGTACTGTGTTCATTGTTTAAGTATGAAATAGAATATGTTGTACATTTAATTAATATTCCTGTTCAAATGATTACTGTTTTCAAAAACTTAACTTGCTTTTGGGGATAAATTTTAGCTATATGGAAAGCTTGTTAATATTGACTAGAATTTTTTTTTAATGACTCTGTTTTATTTAAGTTTCCTTAATTATAATTAGTTTGGGTGTGGTCCTTAAGGTTCTTTCTAGTCTAAAATTACATGATTTTAAAAATCCAATCTCATCCTCACAATACTTCATAAGAAGAAACTGAAATGTAAAGAGGTTATTTTCCCAGAAACATACAGCAAGTTAGGAAGGCAGGTTTAGAATCTAGGCCCTTTGTTACTGCTTAGGCATATTTTCAGTAAGTAAGAGACACTTATTCATCCTTTATTCTGGTGTGTTTTGGATGGGAGGACGGTCCTAACAACAATAGCAGCAGCAGATGCTTGTGTAGCACTTATTATATGTCAGGCACTTAGAAAAGTGTACAACCTGTATTAAGTCACTTAATCTTTACACTAACCTTATTAAGCAAGCATTGTTATTATCACATTTCCTAGATAATGGAACTGAGGCACAGAGAGGTTGAACAACTTGTTTAAGGTCACATAGCAAGAAAATGATAGAGCCAGAATTTGACTGCAGGTCGATAATTTTGATCTGCACACTAATCTGTCTTCCATATAATCCTACATATTTTTTTCTTGGTCATATAGGGAATGTATGTTTGGCATGGAATGATTATTGAGAGAATGTGAAGTCAAAAGAATCTAAAAGAAAAAATACTTGCATATTTTCCTATAGCTAAGCTGAAACAGATAGTCATCAGTATCATACAGAGTATCTATCATTCAAAGGATGAGCATATCTTAGACAATGGAAATAATCTTGAATTTCATATGGTTTTATGTTAGTCTGCATAGATCAAACTTGTGTTTAAAAGGGGAAAATACCATACATCTCCAGTGTTCCCTTCAATATGTACAACATAAAATTAGGACTCAATTTTTCATATGTAGAGTTCTACATTTATAAAACCAAATTCAATTTAAAACTTAAGTGCAAATCAAAATAAAACACTCAAAATTCAAATTAAAACCATTAATTCAATCTATTGGATAATGTTGTTTTCTGAAGCTGTTTCACCCTCACAGTTTGAATATAATACTTGCTTCTCCAGTGCATAGTTCTTTTTAAAATAAGCATGAAGAAAATCATGATGTCATTCATATGTATTTGACTTTCTCTATTTAAACTACCCTGGAACCTTTATTTGCATAGCTGGCTGTGACATCATCTGCTCTTCATTTGGTGCAAATGTATAGTTTAGCTTGAAATATTATTTTTCTTCTTTTTATCATCAGCCACTGGCAATGATAATAGTTCTTCGTGCCAGCACAATAGTAAACACAATTCAAATGTGAATACTGAATGGCTGTGTGACTAGGAGGCAGTTGTTGTACTAAATGTGCTCATATATATTCTTTAGATTACCACTGAAATTAAACACAACATTAAATGTCTTATAAGCTAATTCCTTTTACATCCAAGAATGTCTAGGAATCTGGGTATCCAAGTTGTTAGAATTACTGATTTTTAGATGTTGAAAGTCAAACCTTAGGATGCCAATGTAATATGACAGCGGGAAAAATTTTCCCATTTTTGACCTGTTAGTGTTAGTTTTTTTGTTCCAATTAGCTTATCAAGATTAGGCAAACCTTTTCTTAGGGAATGATGCAATGGTATAGCAATTTTCTGTAGGAAGAAAATCTGACTGCTTGGAATGAACGGTGGTGTCAATGGGGATTTCAGATTAGTTACAGGGAGAAGTAATTATTCTAGTAATACTATTACATTTCAATCCTACTGAAATTGTGGATGGAAAAAAACTTTAAACACAAAGTGTACAACAAAAAAATACCCTTATCCTGAGCTCTGAGCAAATTTGCTGCAAATTTGGAATCATGGCATCATTATGGCATCATGCAGTTTTACTCCTTTTTTTCTCACCACTTCTACTGCTAAAAGGACCCCAAATAACTCTGCAGGTGACTGTTTCTTCTTTTGAACTCATCAAACCTAGCAAAGAAAGGTTGGAGTAGTAAATGTAAGTTATATACTCTCTGGAGATCTGAGTTAGTTTGTTAAGACCTGAACGATCTTGAAGAGTTTTATAAGAAATTTAATAATTGGCCTCATGCTGAGAGTCACATCTGTCCCTTTTGAATAACATACATTATATATATGAAAACCCTTAATTTGACAATAGACACACCCGCAGCTCTGTCACTTTTATCCAGGCTAATTTGCGCAGATTTCATTACCTTATCTTGTTTATGAAATGTGTGGAATAATTGCTACTTGCTGAGGGTACTCTGATAATTAAAGAGAAAAATGTATATGTATTAATAATATTCCCAATTTACTCCCTGACATATTGTAACTAGTAAACAAATGTTAGTACCACTTTCCTATTCAAAAGCAATCTGTGTTAGAAATAACTGAAAAAAGCATGAAAAACAAGGCAGTGCTGAAGTGATTTTTGAAAGAAAACCAAAATGTTTAATTTATTGCACACTTAATGTTTAATTGTAAAATTTCATATGTACTTAAATATCAGTGTAGGGGACCTACATCCGCTGCTGCTTTTAAGGTGGGATACAGAAAAGCCATCCCAGCCTGGGACCCCTCTCAGAAAACAGTGTTGTATTGAAGTTCACAGTTGGCTTTCCAGAATTATTTACCATAAAACACTGATGAAGTAATCTTTGCATAGAAAATCTTGAGATTAAGAGTTACCAAATTCTTGCTTTATGATAGTAACTGAAAATTTTAAGAATATCCAAATTTTAAAAAATAGCATATTTAAAGGTGGATGGGCTGTACTGAAGATACAATCTGCTGACCACATATTTCTACATGGAGCCAATTTTGCATTGTTTATTATTATATGTAATTTTACTTTCCTTTCCATGAAGAAAAATACAGAAGCAAATCAAGTAAAAAGAAATTGGCTTTATTTGTATCTTAATAAATAACATCAATTAGTAACATAATTTTTTAAAAAATTGTATTTCCAGGATGAACAAAAAAATTCAGAATTTTTTTTGCCACTCCAGCTAAAGTTGTTGATCCTGAAGGCTGTCCTTATAATTCTCTTTGTATCTTTGCTCTTCAGTCACTTCTTCTGTCATTAGGATTATTAATTATATCAAGTTATATTATAATTTAATTATGTTAATAATTAGTAATTATTATCATTTACTGTGACATAATTAGTCACAGTAAAGGCTTGGTAATTTGATATATGATGCTTTCTCTCATATGAAAAATCTTGTATGATTCTTAATTAGCATCTCACTGACTACTGTATGTTTATTTCCCTTTGATAAATGCATTCTCTACATAATAAATACAGAAATATTCATTGAAATTACCTTGGAACTGTGATAACAGAATTACCTTTGGGTTGACAGAATCATGCAGACATTTGTTACACAGCAGTGGAAACAGAGCAAAGAAAAATCCAATTGCCTGCACAATAAAAAGTTGTCAGAGAAGAAAGTGAAGTCTCCCCTGCATTTATTTTCTACTTTGCGCAGGTTGGTAACAGGCAACTTCATCATTGTTTTACCAAATACTGAGCATGGATACTCCATGCTTTGAGCATTCTTTCTATAATCTGGGCATCTGTTTATTTACTTTATGACTTCAAAGAAAGGACTGATTGACGTGCATTTCATCAAAAATACATTATTCATCCCTATGTTTAGAGTTTTTATTTCTTTAACATTGGTTGAATTCACTGAAACTACATTCTTTGTTTTCCTAATCACATAGAGTTTTCTCTACAAAATTAGTTTCATATAAGATTCTGGGATAGATAGGAGGGGGAAAATAATCTTAGAATTTTTTTTCTCCTTTGCTTTTCAAGAAAAATGGGATTCAAGTACTGTGGTCACTCTGCAGATACCTTTGATTTCAGTGTTAACTGGGTAGACTGTATTACAATGAGGTGGTAAAGTATTATAGCACAGTTGACAGGTGTTCTTTGTGGTCTGTTATATCCATGATTTGCCCTGTATTAATTGTTGTTCCATTTTGAAGGTCGCCAAGTTATCCTCCCCCTGGTTGTGGTAAAAGCAAATCCAAACTGAAATCCGAGCAAGATGGAATCTCCAAAACACATAAGCTGCTACGGAGGACTTGTTCCAGCACAGTCAAGACTGATGACGTGTGCACCACAAAGTCACATAGGACCTTTGGTCGCTCCCTGTCCAGCGATCCCAGGGCTGAGCAGGCGATGACAATTAAATCACACAAACTCTTGAACCGTTCCTGCCCTGCAGCCGTTAAGCAAGAGGACTGCCTCACTCTAAAGTCGCATAAACTATTGACTCGATCTTGTTCTGGAGATCCACGATGTGAGCACAACACCAACCTAAAGCCCCACAAACTGTTAAGCAGGTCTTACTCCAGTAATCTCAGAATGGAAGAATTATATGGACTGAAAAATCACAAATTGCTTAGCAAGTCTTACTCCAGTGCCCCCAAGTCATCTAAAACTGAGCTTTTCAAGGAACCTAACTCAGAGGGCAGGAGGCTCTCTCTTACCTCAGGGCTTATTGGTATCTTAACACCATCTTCATCTTCATCTTCCCAGATTGCTGTGCGTAAATATTTTCATCTTGAGTTCTTAAATGTTATCTAAAGTGCAGTAGAATTTTTTTTTTTTTTTGGTAAGATCTGGTGGAAGAAAGAAGCAAAACTAGTTTTGTTTGTTTGTTTGTTTTAATCTACTGCTTTTTTTCTTTTTTGATACTGTTTTGCATACCAGATATTTGCAAGTGGCACTGCAATGTCAGTTTTGATTCTGAGAAAATAAGTGTATCTATTTATTGGAGATCCAGTACAAATTCCTGTCACAATAATGAATGTTCCTAAAAATGAAAGGAAGTCAGTTGGATTCACAAAGCCTTTCCTTCTAAGCAAGCATGTAATTTTAATGTTTTACTAAGTAGGTTGATCTAATTTCTGGTTTTCTCACATGAGTAGTGGGAGGACCATGTTTTTCTTGCAATTAAATTAAGAGTAATCTTTCAGTTATATGTAAGAGGATACTTTTGCCCTTGCACATTGTTACCTGTGGAGAGAAGCAGCATTTACAGCTATTTCCCAGAGCCTCACTTGAAGTTGTTCTTAACATCCACTTTTTATAGAAGCTGTTTTTTGGAAACATATGGGGCCAGGAGCTGACTGTATCTTTTTGGTGGTATTTATTTGGAATCAGAGTGATTGACATTATAGCCAATTTTAGGTGAAGAAATAGGCCTTCCTTATGTATGTTATTTGCATATTCAAAATAATTGATAAAAAGTTGCATTTCTTTTTACTAAATATATGTGTGTATGTTGGAGGTGCGTATTTACCTCTAACTGTTAATATGGATACACCCAGCAACAGATGAAATCGAAAAAATAAGATACTGCTTTCAGGCAGTATTATTATTCTTATATATAGATTTATTTCTAAAATTAAAATGTAAATTGTACTGTAAAATTATGTTTATTTTACAAAAATTTGAGTATGTTGATAATTTTATGTGAATATCATACTTCTATTCAAAGATAAACTTTAAGGACATGGAGAAAATTGTGTTGAACATAGTGGAATGTTCCCCATGATAGTTTCACCCAAGAAAGATAATTTTAGATATTTTGTGAAAGAAAGTGTCTTATGTGTCTTAATGTCGTCTCACATGGCTGGGCATAATATTTAATGCATATTTTGGTGCTGTGCCACTTTCAGTAGCTGCCTAATATTTCCTTGGGGAAATAATTGCATCTGATTGTAAAATAAGATTGAAATACTCTAACGAAGAGGAATGAGTGTTTGCCGATGAGTAATGAGGAAACAAGTTTTTGTGATAATGTAAAGATGACAATCATTTTTACTAGAGGATCAGAAATGAAGAATGCTATTCATTTGGTGGAGGCAGAGATTGCAGTAGTAATGGCAGAAAGGGTGTTTATAATAGAGTGAATAAAGAAATTCTAAAATCTTGATGTCATAGTCAGTGACTTAATTCATATTTCATGAGATCTTAGAAAGATCACTTTTGTATTCACTGTTGGAAAAAGTAAAAGGCTGTAATTTGTACATATTTCAAATTAAAAAGTTATTTTGTTTTTTCACTTTGCTTTTTATAGCCAAATGGTGCAAAATGCATTCCAATACGAGACCGTGGCTTCCTAGTGCAGGTATGAGCCAATACTCCATCCATTGTAGAAATGTTGTCGAATCGTTTATGAACTCAACTGAATGCTTTCTCCTTATTGTTTTATTCAGACAATTGAGTTTGCTGAACAGCGGATCCCTGTGTTGAATGAATACTGTGTGGTGTGTGATGAGCCACATGTGTTTCAAAATGGCCCTATGCTTAGGGTAAGTTCTTATTGGTGGAATATTAGTGTTGATTTAGAATATAAATAAAAAGTTTTGAAATATGATAATAAGTAAATAAATGCAGTTTAAAGTAAATATTGAGCAAATTATTTAACACACTGTGACATAGTTTTAAAAAAATGAATTAGTATTACTTCTGAAGGAGTCTGTGAAAGAGCAAGTAGTTTGGTATTAGGAAAGTGTTTCTTATTATGTTTCTTACATATGTTTACCTAACAGCTATCTATATCCATCTATACCTAAATATTAAAGCATCTTAAATAGTGGAGTTTTGAAGAAACAGTGTTTACAAGTTTGTGTAACAAAGATGCCTAATCAGTGTTTCTTCAAAACTCCACAATATAGAAAGGAGAGTCTAGACCCTATGTCAGTTAGAAGAAGTACACGGTAGTATCAGGAGTATCAGAATAACTAACGATTTCCAAAAATGCCAACTTCCTAACACATTCAGGACATTATTAAGGGGGTATGAAAATAATCAATGTATATATGCATTTGGGGAGAATTACTCAATTTCAAAAGTTTCTTTGCAATTTTTTGGATGAAATTCATGTAATGAATAAATCACTAAAGTATATAATTCAGTGGTGTTTAATATATTTACAATGTTGTACAACCATCACCACTATCTTATTTCAGGTAGTGGAATTTCCATTACCTTAAAAAAAAATCTCATAACTGTTAGCAGTCAGTCTCAATTTTTGCTTTCCATCATCTTCTGACAAATACTATTAATAATCTATTTTCTGTCTCATATGGATTTGCCTACTGTAGATAATTGATAATAAGAGGAATCATACAACATGTGGCCTTTTGTTTCGGACTTCTTTCACTTAGTATAATATTTTCCATGTAGCATATGTCACTACTTTATTTTTTATGGTGGAATAAAACTTGCCAGTTTTGTTTATCTTTTCAAAGAATGCACTCTTTCTTTCATTGAATTTCTCTTTCAGTTTTATTTATTCATTTGTAACCATAATTGAAAGTGGGGGGCATTGATGTCTCCAACTATTACCATTGAATTATCTGTTTTTACCTCCAATTCTTTAAATATTTTGATTCATGTATGTTGAGGAGATCTGTTTAGGGGAGCATATATGTTTATAAATGTTACGTCTTCTTGATGTTTTGACCTTTTTTCATATCCTCGTTTGTCTCTAATAGCAATATTTGTCTTCATGTCTATTTTGACTGATATTGTTGTAATCACTCTAGCTCTTCATTGGTTATTATTTGCATGGAATATCTTTCTCTGTGTTTTTATTTTTAACCCATTTGTGTCTTTAAAACTGAAGAAAGTCTCTTATTGATAGTAAATTGTTAGATCTGTTCTATCTACTATGATAATCCCTGTATTTAAGTGTAATTACTAATAAGGAAAGACTTCTACCATTTTGCTATTTGTTTTTTATTAATGTATGTACTGCATCTATTTTTGTTACCCTCCTTCTCCCTTACTGCCTGTTTTTGTGTGTTAAATAGTATCATTTGAATTTTCATGTTGTAACTTTTAAATCTATTTTCTTAGTGGTTTCTTTAGGGATTACAATTAACATCTTAATTTTTAAAATTTTAGTTTGAATTAATAGCAACTTGATTCTAATAATTTATAAAACTTTGCTTCTATATAACTTTAGTCTCCTTGCCTTATGCTGTTATATATAAAGTTGTAAACTACACATCTTTATATTCTATGCTCATCAATATAAATGTATAATTATTGCTTCATGGTGTTGTCTTCTAAACAGAAAAAAGTCAGGCAAAAAAATCAAAGTCAAATGTATACATATTTTAAATATATCTTACATTTAAAAAAATTATTTATGTGCATTGTTTTATATTTACTTATATAGTTACCTTTACCCCAGATTTTTATTTCTTTGTGTGGACTATCTAATGCCCTTTCCATTTTAACCTGAAGAACTCCTTTTATTGTTTCCTTTGAGAAATCTCTGAGCTCTTTTGGCTTTTATCTGAGAGTGTTTTAATTTCTCCTTTATTGTTTGAAGGATAATTGTGCTGGACATAGAATTCTTTGACAGTTTTCTTTATTGTTTAAATCTCTCCTCAGCACTTTGAATATGTTATCTCAATACCTTTTGGTATTCATGATTTCTGATAAGAAATGAACTGTTTTCTTATTGAGGATCCTTTGAATTTGATGAATCATTTCTCTTTTACTGCTTTCAAGATTTGTTCTTTGTCTTTTTTTTTTGGCATTTTGGTTATAATATGTGTGTGTGTGTGTGTGTGTGTGTGTGTGTACCTCGTTAAGTTCATCCTATTTGAAGTTAATCGGATTTCTTGGATGTATAGATTAATATTTTTATGAATTTGGGATATTTTAAGCCCTATTTATTCAAATATTCTACTTACATCTCTTATCTATTGGGATAAGTCCATTATCTGTATGTTTGCATGATGGTGTCCCGTAGGTCTCCTAGGCCTTTTAAATTTATCTTCATTCTTTATTCTTGCTGTTCCTTATGTTAGATAGTCTCCATTGACCTGTCTTCAAGTTCATTGGTTATTTTTTCTGCTTTCTCAAATCTAACTTTTTTCTCTCGGTTATTATGCTTTTCAACTTTTGAATTTCTATTTGGCTCATATTTATAAATTCTATCTTTTGATATTCTCTATTTATTGAGACATTGTCTTCTTTTAGTTACTTATAGTTTCCTTTAGCTCTTTGGATATTTTAAAAATAGCTGATTTAAAGTCTTTGTCTAGTAAGTCCAGGATCTCTGATTTCTCTTGGACCCTTCCTATTGGTCATCTTTTTTCCTGTATATGGGCCTTTCTTTCTTATTTCTTTGCATTCCTCATAAATTTGTGTTGAAAACTGGACATTTTGCATATAATAAGGTGGCAACTCTGGGAATATGATCTCAGCCAAACTGCTTTGACAGTCCTTACCCTTTACTTTCTGCTTGCACAGAGCCTTAAGGTCAGGCAGAAGTTAGATTTAAGGCCTTCTAAAGTTGTACTTGAGAACACACACAGTCACAGGCAGCCTCATGGCTTTCTGGATTTCCTGTAATACATGTGAGCATCTTATGAACATCTCATTTCCCAGCTTTTTCTTCTAAGCTAGTCTATTATTTGCCTTGGTTGTTATCTATTGCCTCACATAGCAGTAGCTAAAACATTTGTTGTAGATGTTTTCAGTTCCCACTCCAGGTATTAGATATAGTACTGAGTGAGTTCCAAGTCAGGCAGAAATAAAGACAAGTGCTTTAAATTTGGTGTCCAGATAGGTTTTAGATCCAGTAATATCAGCTCTTTGCGAATGAATTTCATTCTGCTCCCTCCAGAGTTGGAAATGTAGGCTATTATTTTCAAGGCTACCACTGAGCTGAAGAATGGGAGATGGGACTAGGATAAGTTTAAGTCTCACAAATTTTGCAGTTCTTATTGAGATTTAGCCATTTGTACTGAGTAAGCACTCCTTGGGTTACTGCAGGTTTTTAGTTAATTTCCAAAATACAAAAAGAGTTGATTCAGACAATTTTTGGCAGTTTTTTAAAAGGCTTATAAATATTATTATTTATAAATGGGGTGGAAGTTTGGGTTCCTTACTCAGCCATTTTTGCTGACATCACTCCTCATTTTAAAGTTTCAAATAAGCAAGTACATTGTACTATATCTGCATAGAAGGTAAGGCCCAGGCTTTGAATTTGAGAAATAATAAAATGTAGATAAATATGAAGATAACAATTGAACTAATATCATTAATAGGAGAGAGGAGACTAATGGGGGTTGTGTGACAGGCACTGTGTGTAGATATTTGGCATATTGCTTCTTTATTTGATTTTTAGGAAACACTTGTGGCATAGGTATTTTTGTTTCCATGGTGCAAATAAGGAGACTAAGTTTATAGAGGTTAAGCAATTTGTTGAACGGTACCCAGAAAATACAGGTAGAAGCTTGGCTTTGAACCTAATTCTGTCTGATTTCAAAACTCTGCATTATAAATGCTCATTAAAGATTTCATAAGCAGAAGGCACCATGCCAGAGTTTGTGTTACACATTTTAAGAGAAGATTGTCTTGCCCTTTGGAGTATGTATTTGAAAAGATAAAACACAAAACTTTGAAAGCAATAATTTTATTAGAACTTTATTGTATTTCAAAATTTGTACTTTTAAAAAACATGTATAATAGCCATTTTAGGAATATAATCACCTGTCAGGTTTTATGGTATATTTGTTTTATTTTATTTAAGGGAAACATGTGAAAAAAGGAGTTTTTTTCTTGCAATCTATATGCTACATTTTTTTGCCAGTCAACTTTTCCCTCAGAGATACAATGTTATTCTGAAACCCAAAATAACTAAATCAGCATCTAATTATTAAATAATTGTGCAACTTTATTTCCATTTGACGCATGGAATTATGTAGTTATGATGAAAATGGGGAGAATCTTCTGATCATGTCAGCCTAATCAACTTAAGAGCAACATTTTTACTTTGTCAATGTTCAATATGGTAATCTTGATCTATTGCTTGTTCCATAGGAAGGCCATCTCCATTGCATTGATAACATAGTAATGATAATAATGTTATCAATGGCAATTGCATTTTGAGTGATTTTTTTATGCGATCGAGTTTTCAAAGTGCTTTGTGTGCATTATCAAATTTATTCCTCATAATAATTCTGAGGTAAACATTAAATATTATTATCCCTACTTCACAGATAAGGAAAATAGCAATTTGTTCATTGTTACTCTGTTAGCAAGTAATAGAGACAGGATTCTTATAGAATGGCATCAGGGTGAAGGTTCTTACTCTTGACTTTTGGACTTGAATTGACTACATTTATTAAAAATATCTAGAAAACATATATACACATTGTTTGGGGTTCATTCTTTGTAGTTCAATTGCTAGGGAAGTAGTGAAAATATCATAGTTGATATTAGTATTCTTTGTATGTTCCTGCAGATTTTGTTTGACTTTATATCTGCATTAATGAAGTTTGTG